TGCATAGTGACAGGCAGGAACTAGACCAGCCCTAGACCCTGAACCCAGACACCAGAGACCTGGCACAGGAAGTAAAAAAAGGAAAGCCGAGAAAGGAAAACGAAGTCGTGTTGAGAGGTTCGTCCGCGCCTGCAGGAGAAAACATTCGACAAATTCAAACGATCTGGCACCGGTCTCTTCCCCTCCCCCCTCTCCCCTCCCGATCTAGAATCGTATTGACACGGCAATCCCCCACTCACAGCCAAAGAATGGAACGGGAATCGATTACGGACCAGGCCACAGTCTAGTGTATAAGGCACCAAAAATACAGGAGCGAGAGCGAGAGGAAAGGATAATCGGAAGAAGAACCATCTCCAGGCGTAATATGGGGGTTTAGAAATGGTTCCGCCACAACTAGTCCAAATTCTGTAACGTTAGGGCCTGGAGAGGTCCCGCCTATCCGCCCGATGAGGGCTCTTTGTCTACTGGCTACCGTGGTAGCGAGTTGATGCGGGTTCTGGTGGATGTCGCTCCGATCGCCCAGGACGGCATGAGCGTTGGGACGAGTCTTGAGCCAATCAATGCGGTGGTCGTGATGCACAAGGACGGATTGGTGACGTTCTGACGGGATGAACGGCGGGGCTTGAAGGTGGTGATTTGGTGATGCATGGATCGTGGAGGTGTTCGTGCATGGAAGTCGGAACATTTTTTTTTTTTTTAAATTTTCTCTCTCTTTTATCGGGTTGTGCTTTTGAGTGTTGGGCTTTGGCCGTTGAGATTTGGCCTTTTTTTTTCCCTTTTTTCTTCTTCTTCTTCTTCTTTGGAGGTGAGGTTGGGGTCATCAATGTCATCTTGGAGTTGTCATTGGGGTTTTCCTTTTTGGTTCTGGTGCTGTCTCAGTTCGAGTCTGTTTCCCTTTTGGGCTTTTCGCCGTCCCAGGCGTCTGATCGTCGATCAGGTCGAATTGTTTCAACACATACCAGTCTCGTTTCAAGCCCCACATGGGCGAAAGGGGTGACAGGCTGATTTCGCTTCCACACTCCTTCAGTTCGAGACTATCACACTACGATCGAAGCAGATCCCGGGGATTGACTTTTCGTGTGATAGGACACTGGGTGGTACCCACGGCGTCAACATTGACACTGTGCACCGGATGAGGATGGCTTTCTCTCCTCACCGGTACTTGGGTTGACCTGCTTTTTTGTGGAGCCAAGATGGGAACTCACCCCGGGAGACTAGTTACGATATAACGATTTCGGATTTGATCCTTTTCCTACCTGACAAGGAGAGAGTGGCTTCGAATCCCAACAGAAAGACCAGGAAACTCTAATTCCAAGGCACAGGGGCAAAAAAAAAAAAAAAACGGCTAGATCGAAACGAGCCGTTGGAGTGTCCACTGGCTATGACACGAGGGATCAGGGGTTTACATACAATCCACCCTCTTGTGATGGTTCGAAGAGGTGCAATATGCACCCGTTGCAACATAATCCATGGATTCGGTCTCCTACCGTTAGGAGTTCCAAGCTGCCGTGAGTGATCGATCCTTAATAGGCCGGGCTCAAGGGTGGGATCTGCATCCGATCGAGATTGTGATTTAGACCTTGATAAAATACTAGCGTCTATGGATCTTGACGTTCGGTATTGCATCGGTACAATTTTCACGTCTCCCCTCATCTGCCGAGAGATCTTCATTACCTCTTGCTTACTATCAACCATCGATCTCTTGATGATGACACGCTATCTTGCGAACGCATCGTGTCCTCCAGACTTCCAATCTACAGAAAAACCACCGTCAGGAACCGCCCTACGTCACACACCACGCCCTGATTGGTTGAGACTCTCGATCCATCACTAGCCCTCAGACAGCTCTAGCGTAGAAAGGTACCCGCCTGTCGGTACGCTCAGCCGCGTGAGCCCTTTTTTTTTTTTCGGTTCCCGACCGTACCGGCAAAGTCGAGGGCTTTGCAAATACCGGTCAGGACTTTCCCGGAACAAAATCCCGACTTTGCAGGTGCTGTGATCCCACCTAACCATGGATTCAGGCCTTGCTTTCCGTTTCTGGGTAATTCGCTCCGTGGCATTGGTGGTGACCAAGGCTTTGTTGGGGGGGATGTGGTAGCTCGCAGGGCGATAGTCCAGATTCCAGGGTTGTTGCAGGTCTCGTTCTTGCTCGGGAAACTCTTTCTTTCTTGGGTCTTGTTTCTTTCAGGGAAGGGTTCCAACGGTTGTATTGTTGTTAATCGGGATTTTGAGTTCCGATGGACTTCTATGCATAAGTGGAGTTGGACTGCTGCTATAATTGGGCATCTTACATACCGCAACTTCAGGGGATGTTGCGACAAATGGTCATTGTTGACGTAGTCCTTCCTAATGCAGTAAGGGGCTTGCTTTGTCTGTGGGTAGCTCTGCTGGGCGACACTCTTGGCAACGGCGGCTTGGCTCAAAGGAATCTCGGACAGTCGAGATCTAGTACTCTCCGTACGCGCTTGTATTCGGACAACCTGCAACCTCAGGGGCTCTGTATCGCGGCAGATGGGTAAAATTCATGTAGTCCTTCCTAATGCAGTTAGGGGATGTGATCTCCAAAATGACCTTGGTTGGTGGTTTGCTAATATAGTACCTAGCAACGGTGGCAACGGTGGCAACGGTGGCAACGGTGGCATGTCAGATGTTTGATATCTAGGACAAACTTGGAAGGAGATATGGTACTTTGGTGACTGGGTGGGGAGAACAGCTGCTACCTGGACCAGGGGGAAAAGAGAGAAAAAAAAATAAAAGGTAAAGGCCAGTTCACCATAGCCCAGTACTGTTGGAAGCAACGTAGCATGGAGAGAACGGTATGGCCGAAGAACGAGATACTTGCCAAGTGTTCCATCCCAAGTCCGCTATCTACTGGCGGCAAAAGACCGGCATACTCTCAGTCGGACATTCGATCTCAACATCGCGACCGCCCTCATACACAGTATCCTTCTTGTCCCAGAGCTTCTACGATGCTCCAACCGGGCAGATAGGCCTTGATCCTGCGCTGCCCTGGCTCCAATACTGGCACAACCAAGTACGTCGACCCAAACATATACTGAGTCTCAATCTCCCAAGCCCGCTCATCCAACGGGAACTCGCAAAACAAAGTCCTCATCACAGGAGTCCCCCTCTCATGAGCCACACGCATTAATCCCCGCGTGTACTCACGAAGCTGCTCCCGAATCCCAATATACCGTTTACAGATTTCAAAAATCGCATCTCCATACGACCAGATCTCATTATCCGCCCCGGTAGCCGTCGGCTGTCCCGCCGGCTTCGGCTCACGGTCCCCATGTAGCCGCATAACTGGACAGAACGCTCCCCACTGGAACCATCTCGTGAACAGCTCGCGGAACGCAGGGTCGTCGGGGTTGCCGCCGTGGAAGCCGCCGATATCTGTCGTCCACCATGGGATCCCAGCTAGACCCATGTTCAGGCCTGCTGCGAGTTGGGTGCGGAATGAGCTCCACGACGATGCGATGTCGCCGCTCCACACGAGCGTGCCGTACTTCTGGCTGCCTGCCCATGCGCATCGCAAGAGGTTGACTATGTTCGTTTGGCCCTCTGCAGTCATGCCTTCGTAGAACCCCCGTGTATACTCTTTCGGGAAGGTGTTTCCGATTTGCAGGTTACTGCCGGCGTGATAGCGGTAGATGTCGAAGTCGTAGATTGAGAACTCGGGCTCGGCTTCATCGAGCCAGAATGTTTTGATGCCCATGTTGTAGTAGTTTTGCTTGGCTTTGCTCCAGATGTACTTTCGGGCTGCCGGGTTCGTTGCGTCGAAGTGTGTGATGTCGCCGTCGCATTGCATCGCAATGCGCATACCGCGGTCGTGGCGGATGAGAAGGCCCTGTTCGAGCATCTCTGGGAAGTTCTCGGATGCATTCTCGACGGTAGGCCAGAAGGAAACCATGAGCTCGGCTTTGAGCTCTTTAAGCTCCTTGACCATGGCCTCTGGAACCGGAGGTTGTCTGTTAGTGGGTCTTGATCTGGAAGCGAGACGAAAACGAGCAACGTTAACTCACCTGGATCTGGCCAAAACTCCGAATCAAAGCTCCATTCTCCTTGGTGCTTCCGATGGAAGAAGTCGATGACAATCAAATCCAGAGGAACCTCGCGACGCCGGTGCTCGCGCGCAATGTTAAGCAACTGCTCCTGGTTTGTGTAGCGGAGTTTGCATTGCCAGAAACCAAGATCATATTCTGGCATCATGGGAAACACATCCTGTCACTTTGGCATAGGCTTCTTCGATTCCGCCGGGGTGTCGCCCGCCACAACCCAATAGTCCAATGCCTTGGTCGAGTAAGCTTCAAAAGCTCATTACATTTGTTCCCAGAACCGCCCGTCCGATGCCGGGGTTGTTCCAGAGGAAGCCGTAGCCGAGCGACGAAATCGCAAAAGGGACACTGGCTTGGGAGTTACGATGCGCCAGTTCAAGGTCTGTGCCTTTTAGGTTCAGGTAGGGCTGCTGATACTGTCCCATGCCGAAAATCTTCTCTTCATGATCGAGAGACTCGAACCGCATGGTGAGGTGGTAGTCGCCACCCAGGGTTGGACGCAGCTCACGAGCCTCGACAGTCAACGCGCTGCACTTGGAGTCCTTTGGGTCCTGGCGGTGACGTACATACTCTTCAAGGAGTTTGTTTCCCTTCGAATCGTAAATGACAATCTTGCCTCTGCGTGACACTGTTGCTTTGATGTTGCCGTTGGTGATAGTCGCTTCGTGGTCAGCAATTATCTCGATGCCTGGGCTGGGACTAAATGGTTTGGAGGAGAGGGCCCAATATTCCGTTGGAAATGACGCTTGTCTCGTTACACGCACCCGCAAGGCATTCTCGCCCTATGGCTGTACCCAGAGGATGTGGTCGTCGAAACGGAAGACGAGCTTGTCGTCCTCGGCGTAGAGCATTTTGCACGCCAGACTGTTGGCGGTGGTTAATCTGTTGTATTCTGATAGAGAGAGGCGATCTGTGCTAACCAGATGAGCAGTCTAGTTCAAACAGCTGGGCATTAAGATCAAGTATTGAGAGAATGGCATGATACCCCTCACCATGAAATCTTGATGCCATGCCATGGCTATTTCCGATGGGATTTACCGCAGATCCACTGCGTGCAGTACCAGTCACAACACTCATTTATCCCAGAGAGTTTCTGGAGAGGTCTCGTGGGGTGATGAGGTGGAGGTGTGTACCTTTAAACGCCTCGAAATCATAGGTAACCTTCGCGAGTTTAGCCTAAAGACGACCTTCCAGATAGAGCAAGGACACTATCCCGCGTCTTCCAAAAGATCAACCCGGTTCGTACAATGATGTTTAATAGACAAGCCCGAAAGGGAATGCTCTATCACATGACCTCGTGGACTATAGCCCCTATGTATAGGTACAGCAGCTAATATTGCTCTAATTGCTAGAATAGCAATGCCCTATCTAAATGATTCGACCAGCAACAGGTATGCCTAACCCCGATCCGACGAGAATAATAGCCACATTAAGCGCATGTTGAGCTTGAAATGTGGTTAGAAGGCTGTAGATTAGTCTATCCAAGCTAGTGCATAACCTTGGACACATACCTTTGGTCACTAAGCAATGCTCAGATAAACTTTGGCTTATTTCCTCTTCCTTCTTTCAGGCGGCATTGACCTAATTATTAAATCGACTTTGTATGAATTCAAAGCTCCCTTAGCTGGTTTCTTTCCTTTTACCAACAATATGAGCAAAATCAAAATCCCCAAAGGCTTCAAGGCCTGGTACGACGAGCTGCTTGCAATAGCTCAACAATCTCCCGACCCCATCCCCTAACCCCTGCTCGAACATGTCGAGGATCTCCAATCCTTTGAGCTCCCTACAATAGCCGCCTCCGAGATGACACTGCAGCAGACAGAAATGGCTTTGGGAATTCAAGGGGCCAAGGGACCTCAGCCTTGGATGATCTCATACATTTTCTTTGCTCTCCCGGCAGATTTTGGTACCTATTAGCCTCATCCCTCGGCCTGGACGAGACTTGATTAGAAACAGATCGTTGTCTAGAACAATACGACACGTTGACCAAGCTTGGAGTTAACAATGAGGCCAAGTCGCGTTGTCGCATTGACGCATTGATATTCGTCGTATATCGAAGTTTGTTGGAGCAAGGCCTAGTTCCAAGCACCGGAGACAGTAGAGCCACTCTCTCCTTTGAGACTCCATTCAAGTGGAGTCCCGTGCTCATTGACGGAATTCCATACACATGCACTGGAAACGTTGACTATGCTGTCCTTCTCGGATACAGAAATCATATGGCTTGTCATCTGGCAGCACTAGAGGCCCAAAAGCGTGATGGTTTGGCTGGAACTGGACAATTGTTGGCTTAGATGGCCATGGTTCAAGCGAGCAGAAAGGCACGTGGCCAGTCCAATTGGTCTGTTTAGGGATGCTTAAGTGACGGCTGGGATTTTCGGTTTTATTTCCTCGACTTGGAAGGAAATTGGTCCTCAAAAATTATACTATCAGAGGTCTTCGGCTGGCAAGAAATCGCCAATACGTTAGCCCATATGATAACACAAGCACAGGCAGTCGCAAATTCCCCCCTTCGAACAAGCTTGTGTTCAACGCGGGGTCCTTCTACCAGACCCCCGTCAGTCGTTTCGTCGGTCGTTTTTCCAGAAGGCTGTGTTGCTCCAAAGAGAAAGTCTTTGCCTGAGAGAGTAGAGGCTTCTACCAAAAGGGAGCGCACTTCAATTAGAGGCTCTGATTTCTCAGAGACACCGGGCTCGGTTACTTCGGAACCGTCATCAGCTGGCTCCTTGGAAGTCAGGTTAGATGATGATTTTACAGCAGAATCTCAGGCTGCGTTGGACCAAATTACTGAAAGTGAGTGGATCTGGTTCCGGGATTCCCATGTTTATGCTTCGTTGCTTTATTTGCTCCACCATGATACTACTATTCGGAGCTAGTCCGCATCCACTGAGATAATATGGCTATAAGCGTCGTTGGAAGATGGCTCCCACCCTCTTGTGCCAGTGTGTCTGTTTGATATATGGCCATAGTCAAAATTCGACTACCAGCTTTCTCTCAATTGGGCTTTTCTAGGGCCTGTTGCCAGCCCATGTGGCACTTCCGTGCCTACAAGACATCCAAGAGACCATGTTACCATTCTTGTCCTTCCAACCCTTTCTTTGTTTATGATCCGGCAACTATCAAGGCGAAAAACTGTTAGTTCCTCCGCAATTTGTCTTCCAGCTCAGCGTTCAACAATGATAGCCGTTTGGACGTCCACTGGAGGGTCCAAGTTGAAATTACCGACTGGTGTTCCCCGGAAAAAGGACGCTATTCCTTATCAGGACAGAGATTCAAGCTACCAGCGGGCACGGTTTTCACCTTGCATTCCCCAGTTCTATTACCTCAACCTCCCTCAATTTTCACTTCCATTGGAGCTTTTAGCTGAGATCAGATTTGATCTTTTGATTTATCCAGCGAAGCCAGAGCCATGGCGTTCAGTGGGGCCTCAGCTCCCATCGCGGACATCGACATCGACATGGACCTTGACCTAGGACCAGAGCCAGAACCAGAGCCAATTCAGGTGGTGAGTGCTTTATTTTGTCATTAGAGTCGCAATCGATTACCGACTAACATGTGTCGAGTGCTAGGAAGCAACTCCGAACTTGGAAACCACAAACGACCCTCTCACCGATGAAGCGGTCTACGAAAAAGTGCATATTCGCGGCGTCGATGAATTGACAACAGAGGATATCAAGCAATTTGCCAGTGACTGCTCTGGACAGGACCCAGTGCGCGTTGAATGGATCGACGATACATCCGCCAACATCGTCTTTTCCTCCGCCGAAATCGGCCTCCAAGCTCTCACAGCTCTCACACAACTCGCCGAGGAAGAAGACGCGTCCACCTTGCCACCTTTGCGTCTCCGATCGGCGAAGCTCCTCTCCTCCCATCCTGACTCCGTCCTCCAAGTGCGATCGGCTGTCAAGTCGGACCGCAAGCAAGCACGCGCTCATGAGAAGAGTCGCTTCTACCTCATGCACCCTGAACATGATCCTCGAGAACGCCTGCGACAAGAGTTTGCAGACCGGAGACGCAATGATGACGCAGGTGAAGGAGATTACAGGCGGCGCAGATTCGATGACCGGGAGCACCGACGCCGCCGAGACCGCGACGAGGTCGACCGCTTCAACGCCGACATGTACGATGACAATGCTGGCTCTGAACCCGAGCGCGCTCGGGTACAGCCCAGAGGTCGTGGCCAGAGAGACCTGTTTCCAGATGACGACGGGCGATCAAGTGGACGTCTCCGAAATCGCAGTGCGTCACCGGGACGAGACACTCTGGAGGAGGAACTTCGAGTCGAGCGAGGCGGCCGTGATGACAGCAGGCGGTTCCGCGAGAGGTCGCTTCGATTCATTCGTAAGAACCAGGATAAAGAGCTTTTCCCAAGCGCGAGCGCGGGCGAGAGCGAGTCGGGAAACCGCGAGCTTTTCCCAAACAAGACCACATCCAGCTACATCAAGAAGGAGGTGCATCCTAGCAAGGCTAGTAACCATCGCCGGTCAGATGCATTCGATGCTTCTATCCCAGGCACTTCTGAACACCGACGCAACAGCAAGATTGAGCTCTTCCCCGAGTCCACCAACAATGGCGCCCGCATTCGGGGAGCAGCCACAGCCACCGAGGACCAAGGGTTTGCCATCCGGGGAGGATCTTCAAACGGCATGTCGATCAAAGGCAGGGGTGCGTCGGTGCGCGAGCTGTTTCCTTCCAAGTACGACGGTGATACCAGCAACAACGCCAACGCTGGCAAGGAATTGTTTTCCGATACACTTGAAGGACGTGGTGGTCGTCGGCGCCGGGCTGAGGATATGTTCAGCTAAATAGACGAAGCGATAGGTCAATGACTGTGCATTTGCTTGATTGTTGGGGGCTTCACAGGAGCATGATGGATATCCGGCGTTTTACGAATGGAATTGGGAAATCGATTGTCTGATAAAAATCTTATAATGACACATCCTCTGCTCTGCTGAAAGGTGGAATGCCTAAATGCTTCTGTAATCTTTGAGCAATGACTGAATGTGGGCTGTAGATCAACTATCCGTCTTATGTATACAGTACATATACAAGCACGTCGCATACCACGAGTAACCTCTCCCCAAGCAAAATCTTTCCGAGAGATCAGATACAAGTATGCCTCCCTCCACAACAATAAATGCACTATCAAGTGCTATAGTTGCTCGATTCCTGCGCAGCCATGATTATTCCGAGACTCTGAAAGCCTTTCTCCGCGAGGCTGACCTTGCTCCCGACGTGGGGCAGAGCTCGGGAGACGACACCAACAACTGGACCATCCAAAGCTTGCTCGAAGAGAAGAACACCTACGACCAAACTGTGAATTTTGAAAGATATGGTACGAGCAATCAGCAATCGGCTTTGTGGAGTGAGCCAGGTGAGTTTTATCCTAACATGGAGGTTGAAAGCCATTGGGACTGGGCTTTTACATGTCAAGCTTTTTATCTGCGATTGCTTTTATTCTGTTACCTGACGGACCCCTAGCACCATCAAGACCTGTTATCATCCAGACACCGACATCATCAAACATCCTTGCTGCGTCGGTAGAGCAATGGCAGAAACCCCGTGGCGATGACGATGAAGCCGTTGCAGACGGTGCATTAGCGCACTCTTATATCGTCTCTACGGGCGCAGACAGACATGTCCATTTGTTCGAGAACGCAGAAGGCAATGCGGCTATCAAATCATTCCCGGGCCTTTCTGATTCACCTGTTCTATCATTTATCTCCATCCTCAAGGGCCGGTACATCCTCATGACCAACATGTCCGGCCAGCTGCTCCTCCAGCATGGTACCCAAACTCTGGACAGCAGAAAGGACCATGCAAAGTATGCGGTGAAAGTGGTATCCTACGAGGACAAGGCGGATCCTTCCAAGTGGTGGGTTGCCACCGCCGGATGGGATGAGCGTGTTTTCCTATATTGCCTTCATATTCCTGACGAAGCAGACGCACCAGTTCTCAGGATCGGCGAGCCCGTCACACGCATTGAACTCAATTCAAACCCAGAATCACTGCTGTTCGTCCCACATGTGGACACTGACGAACTGCTCCTCGTCGTCTCGCGCAGAGACTCGACTTATATCTACTACTACCAGGTAGAAGCGGCGTCGGAAGAAACCGATACTCCTAGTGAGAATCATAGTGCTACTGCTGAGAAGTCCCCACGAGAAGCTCGCCTCCTTGGACAGCAGAATCTGGCCCCTCATTCCAATGCCTGGGTTGCGTTCTCACCGGCCTATATGGCGCTAAGTCCACAAGACCCGGGTCTTCTGGCTGTAGCGACGTCGACATTGCCCCATATGAAAGTGATTATCGTGCGTCTGCTATTCCCTGAAGCAAAGACAGCGCCCGCTCCAGAGGATCCGGTCACACAGGCGTCTCAGGCACTGGCAACGCTGGATCTACAGAACCGCGAGGATGCTGCTATCCTCGTGCAAGCGAACACCTTCGCGCCGCAAACTGCTTACTCCACGCCGCAGGTGGCATGGCGACCTAATGGGACTGGGGTCTGGGTTAATGGAGATGATGGTGTAGTTCGTGGCATTGAGACGAAGACAGGCAAGATGATTGCTACGTTGAAGGGTGGCCATGAGCCTGGATTCAAGGTGAGGGCTGTTTGGTCGGGGTATGTTGCTGTACCCCAGGAAAAGGGTGGCCCAATTTGGGAGGAATGGGTTATCAGTGGTGGGTTTGACAAGAAGTTGGTTGTTTGGAAGGTATGACCATTGTGACTATGCTTAACATCTGTGGTGTGCCTAGAGATGAATTATTGATGTGCAAATCATGAGTGCGAAAGCGCAGATTAAGTAGACGTACAAGAATCAATTCGAATAAAGCCAAGTAGTAAAACGATTGTTACTATTTTACGGGATGTAGCCCCCCTAACCATGAACCCTGTCGCGATCGAGAAGAATCAAGACAGGATATATAGCAATCGGGGACTTGGGGGTTGTTCTTGGCACGTTAAGAAAAAATCCTTCAGCAATCGCGCATGAGAAAAGCACGCAGCTGTACACACATATGCCGGACGGGGGTTTGGAGGAAATTGGGGGAAGAGCCTAAGCTCAAGGGCCGCAACACAGACAAAAGTCGAGCCCTCGAGTCTGGGAGTCTGGAAGAAAAAAAAGGGGATTTAGCAGAAGACATTCCGCTTGGGAAAATGGCACCGCTGTGCACATCGTATTAAGCCTGTTGATTTCTCGGTATCAAACAACTCGAGGCTCGTCGCGCAAGGAATAAGCAAAAACCAGGCCTATTCGACACAGCGGACCGTCCTTGATCATCGCACACGTTATGTTCTGTGAACCTCTTGCACGCTCGAGTTGCATTTCATGTTTCCCATTTTTTTAAGACTGAGTTCATAATCTATGCGACCTCACGCTTGCCCTCCTTGCGCTCCTTCTGTTTAATGGGTCAGTAATCCGGGTTATGTGGTAGGTATTGGGTGTTGGGTTCGAGCTGTGGCAAACGTACAAGGGCCTTCATGGTGCCGTGGAGAGCGTGACGGTGGTTGCGGCGGAACTTGGGGTCGACACCGTTGAGGGAAGGGTAACGGTTGGTCTTGGGCTTCTTGATACTATTCGAGGAGTGTAATCAGCGATAAGGTTCTGGTTGAGCTCGTGTCATGGATGGTGGTTGAATGCAACAGTTCGAAGATATGGCCCGAGCGAATATTCAAGTCGTGGCCTCGAAAATGTCACAACGGATTAAACCATTCGCACACTAGCACTTCTTCCACCATATCCATTGAGCCTCTTAAAATATGTCGGACGAGTATAAGGGTAGGGTGATCGAGCAAGTTCACGGGTAGACGTACCCGTTACGGTGAGCCTTCTGGCTGCGGTGGTGCTGGGACGCGTTCTTGGACTCTGTGAGTAAAATTCATGTCAGCGCCATCGCTTTTTCCCCCCCACTTGCCAGCTTGCAGGGGAGCGAAGGTCATAGGATCGTGATAAAAACGTACTGGCCATCTTGTCGGATGTTGTCTCTGATTGACGGTATGATGGATGGAGAGGAGTGGGAATAGGGACGTCAGGCCTTAGAGGCTCGGCTAGGGCTCGTCCTGTTTGTGGGATCTCGCTTATCGGGCGGTGTACATACTAGAGCGTCAATAGATGGTTTGTTACTTGCAAGATTGTCTTAGAAAACGTGATAATATCTTAATGTGGTAGTTCATCTAAAATTTTTCGTTGGGCTGATCTAAATGATTTAAGATTTGATCCTTTCAGCTTGCTTTTACCAATTCTTCAGTCTGTGACTTTTTTCCCACTTGGTTCTGCCACTCACTTACACGTGACCTAGGCCCTTTAACACCACGTGATATATACACTTCCCCATGGGCAAGTAGCCTTAGACAATACTGCGGTCTACGGGGAAAAAGAAGGCTTGACTTTGGAAGTCAAAATTAAGGGAGTAAATCCAGTGTACAGTCACAATGCATTGTACCCAACTCTCAGCAAGACTTTCCAGAAAAACTTGTTCTCGGCGTCAAAATTTCGCCTTCGGGAATCGGACTTCTGGCAATATTTTGAATTCAAAAATAGAAAAACACCGAAGTGCATATGGAAATAATGAAACCTTTTGCTTTCTCCTTCTGTTCCCATAAATTTAGCATAGAATGACCGTAGTCCAACACAGCTCATGCTGGCCATAGTCCGGCCATTGAATTCCCGTGGCACGTGATCTGCCGCTAGGGAACAACCGGCATTCCGACTTTGACCTTTGCAACGCAACTTCAAGAGGGATAATCCAGCCTTTGCACGTCATCCAATACTGCAAAATGAGCTCCTTCCGCTTCACTCGCTCCGCCCTCCGGGCTCGCCCTTCTTTCCTCGGTGCTCCCGTCCAGCGCCGTGGTTACGCTGAGGCCGTCGCCGACAAGATCAAGCTGTCCCTGACCCTGCCTCACCAGGTGCGTGAACGAACTCCGGCCGGCATCCCAACGTCCTAGCCTAAGTACTAATTTGATAATTGCTTGATAGACCATCTACCGCTCGACTGGCGTGTATGTAATGCTTCGAACTGCGCCCGCTCCAACGGTTTCTGCGCTCTTTTCCTAATAACTGACCAACCTCCGATATCATAGTACCCAGGTCAACATTCCCGCCGCCTCCGGTGAGATGGGTGTCCTCGCCAACCACGTTCCTGCCATTGAGCAGCTCAAGCCCGGTCTCGTCGAGATCATTGAGGAGAGCGGTGCCACTAAGCAGTACTTCCGTACGTCCGAACCTCGCGCCCTAGGACATTGAGCAATCTCGCATCAATTGGAATCGATGAACTAACAACCTTGTCGCTGTATAGTGTCTGGTGGCTTCGCCGTTGTCCAGCCCGACTCCCAGCTCAGCATCAACGCTGTCGAGGGCTTTGCCCTTGAGGATTTCAGCGCCGATGTAGGTTATTGTTCTTTGCGACGTCACGACTCTAGCTAACTGGAAATTTCTTGCTAGGCCATCCGCGCCCAGATTGCCGAGGCCCAGAAGATTGCCAGCGGCAGCGGCAGCGAGCAGGATATCGCCGAGGCCAAGATTGAGCTTGAGGTATGAATCCCGGGGAGTATTGGACTGGTTAAAAACTGACTTTTTCTACAACAGGTTCTCGAGACCCTCCAGGCTCATGTCAAATAGACTTGATGTACATAACCATTATCGCCCCAACCATGAACCTGTAGAATTATAGCAATTCTCACTTTTCTTCTAATTTTATTTGTCTATTGCATCGTTTCTTCCATCTACATTTTGTGCGGTAGAGGTGGGAGCGCACCTTCCACGCTTGGAAGTTGAGCACATGACTTCCCCGTTTCATCTCCAACGCTTCCTCTCCAACGACCATCAACTTTATCTCCAGCTGAGCATGCAGACATGGTATTCGCCAAATCCCTCAAGTCAGACCCTCTTGGCATCGTGGATACTCGACTGACGATGACGGAGTCACATGCGGATTGCTTCTTTTCACCTCTCTTTGCGCCATTCACCGGGCTTGGCGGAACTGACGAAAGACAGCCCGGTGGCCAGACAGAAACAGAAGCAAGCCCAAAGCAGGCCCACCGAATCCTCGAATTTCGCGAGTCATTTCGTGGTTTCGGTTCCAGCCGAAAATGTCCTCGACTTGAGCTGGATGTCGCTGTGGATAAGTATCACACTCTTGACGGCCTCGCCGAGCCGTTGAATCCCCAAAACACACCAGCATCAAATAGCGAACAAGACAGCGCGGAGGAATCTATCGAACCCCTTCGTTGCTACAAACTGGAGAACTTGCAGACGAGTCCTGTACCTCAGATCGAGGACTTCAATTTCGATTGCTTCCAAGATTCGCCAGAGGCAAGCTCTGTCCATAAAGAGAATGGAAGCGAATCCCCCAAACCCTCAAAATTGCGACGCCTCTCCGTTGGTCGCCAACAGTGGATCAAACCCACTGTTGCTGCCCTGTCTTATCATCAGCCAGGCACAAATGCCGGCAACTTCAACAAACCTGGGAACTCAGATTCACCGCTGCGATGTGTTCGATTTTCTCCTCCTCCGGCCTCTCCGTCTCCACCTCCTCGTGTGATACGTCATCCGCTACCGTCGATTGAAAGAAGGCAGGACTATGTTGCCTTGTATCGACAGAAGAAACAATACCGGAAATGGAAGGTTGCTGGTTGCGCAAACTCTCGGAAAAGCTCAGCATGCAACGTTTCTGCCAGTAGAACGCAATCTCTGGCACCCCGCATCCCAAAGAACCATGATTTGTGTGGCTCGTCCTTTTCCAGCTTGCCTTATCGTGAAACACGTCAAACATCATTCCTCGCTCGTGTAGGCTTGAGTAGTGGTGCTCGAGAAGTGCGAGCCGATAATGTGGGCGAAACTCCTGATGCAGATGGCTCCAATATTGCGATTCACACTGAGCAGAATCTCCCTGCTTTTTTTGCTGTTTCATTTTCGCTTTACAAAAACCGACCTGCGCCTACTCCATCCACTGAGCAAGAACCAAAATACGCTTTCCGATTTCGAATCACTCGAACCGATCTCCCTCAACAACCCTCTCCACATTTCCCCACTGAATTCGAACACACCAGTTGCCACCCGACTATCGATGACTTGCTATTCCACACTTGCTTCATCATCCCCGCGCTAGTTGTACTGCTACCTCTCAGTGTCATCTTCGTTGCAACACACCCATTGGTCAACACCCGGCCCGGTGCTGCAATGCTCTACCTTGCCAGAGCTTTACTGTATCTACTGATGAACACCATCATTCGTGTGTTATCTAAATGCGGAGTGTCATGCGGCTGTCAGTGGAATCCGGACCCCGTCCATTCGAAGTGAGTAGCTACATCCTTAGGGTGGTGAACAAGATGGAGGTGACATACGGACGGGAGAACTCCGTTCGTACTGTCTCTGAACACAGTTTGTATGCCACCTACTCTACGAGTATCTTTTTGCGCCGCCCAGATGAGTTTAGTCTTGCTCCATTTGAGATGCTTCTGTGGCTGAGAGCCAAATCATCAGTATGAAAACAATATATTTTTAGCAATTAAGCCATTATAAAGCACTGTACCATGTCTCTGCAACACGGAGATTTTCCACCATGCCTTCTAGAATCTAACAAAAATAGAGAAACACCAAGTTACACATAGTGGTATTGCTTTTGATAGCCATGACTTTAACGGAGCTACTTCTACATACATGGTTCCACCCATCTTCGTATGCTCCTGACCTAGAAAAATGAGGAAGCATATGTACACAGAACTAACATTTGGAAGTTTTACCCGGGGCGTCTGGTGTCTATATAAGATTAGATGATACAATTTGTAAAATACATCCACAGCCACAAGCCAGCACGCTATGGTTGCTACAGACTCTTAGATGGGGGCGTAGTCTTTCACACACATTGACCAGAACTTTTGTCACAATCTATAGCCATCATTTTCGTTTATTTTATCTAGTAGCTTTGGCCCTCACCATCGGCACAGAATGGCTCAGAGAGGTCGTTTCTGCGATTCCCAGAAGACTTGATGGGCTGAAGATGAGCTTTGATTAGCGCCTCATCATTTTGCTTATACCCGAAAGTAGCCCGAGGCAGTACATTTATCAATTAGTTTACGTTTATGCGGGGGTACAGTGCATTAATTGTGTGGTGTTAAATAGTGTCAACTGCAGTAAGATAAATTCGCACTCCCCCCCCCCGCCCAGCCTTCCCACTCGGCGGAGTATTCGACCAAAAAGTGATGAATACAAAACAGCCTTGAACCGGGCCATGCCATCACATCTTTAGCCGAGCTTGGGGAGTATTGGGTATGCGTTGTGTTGCCCGAGAGAGTGACACCCCTGTACCAGGATGGCTGGGAGGCCGAGAGAGAGAGAGACAGTGAAGAAGAGACTAGTATGCCACTATCCTCTCTTTCGAAGGGTTCTTGAAAAAGGAAGTCCTAAAGCCCTAAGAGTTAGAGGGAAATAGATACAGCCGAGGTGGCTAGGTATATAGTCTTTTCTTTGTTTTATCCCTTCACCGGACTGATGTATCAAGATGAACCATGGAGATGGCAGACGTCCTTCCTGGGACTCTCTACTTCCGCTTGTCTTCTGGCAACACCAGCTTCCATGGAGTCTGTCCTTGCCTTTCTACTTCCTTCTTCTGCGCCGCGCCGCGAGCGTCACAAAATTAACTTTGTTGTTTCGGTATCACGGGGAGCGGGCCTTCTACATACGCTCGGTGATGAGGATATGGCCGGCGCCGGATCTAAGGGGTATCTAAATGTGGCCATGGCGACTCTCTTACAAGAGTTTTATCCGATTGTCGCATTACAGATGATGAATCTGCACACTGTGGCGGCGAAGTTTCACCGTGAGAATGATATCTGGTGTTCGAGCGACCGGTGGGGGATACATCATTAAGAGAGTGAGGAGTTGTAAGTTGCGGCTTTGGCTGAGGATGGCAGAGGGTTGAAGTAATACTTTGCTTTGCCCTCGCTAGCTCATGCGTCTCTTCTTTCACAGTTGAGCCGCACAGTGCCAGACGTGCCGGCCACATCGGGCTCTTATATCACGGAGTAAAAAAGTCTATAATGCCCACTTCAACTGCCACATTAAGCATTCATTTTGACCTATCTTCTTTTACTCTCTACGGGCGATAGTAATCCGCCTCTATAGATAATTCTAAGTTTAACTAGAAATATCTATGATAGCTACGTAGATTCGAACACCACTTATTAAAACAGGTTAGGGCTGCTTAGGCGGGAGGATTAGCGGTGCTTTAATAACTAAATCCAGCTGATCCGAGTGCTGTCTAGGCTTTGGGTCTAGAAGCTAGAAAATAGCCATAGCGGCAATGTGGGAAGAAAACGCTTGTATAGCTCTACGATACCAAGAGCTTATGTTGGAGGTGTGTTGATCTAATCTGTTTCTCTTTCAAATACGGAATGCGCTAATATGAGCCTTGTCTCAATACAACACAAAGGTGAAGACAAGAAGGCCAGCAAAAAAATCCAACCAACAACCCAACCAAAAAAAACGTCAAATCGCTGGCATAAAAAAAAACAAGAGATGGGAAAGGAAAGGCTAGCTAAAAGAATCATTTCGTCGCCTCAAAATCACGTTCAAGAAAAAAAAACATATCAAAAGGGCATAGCACCGTAACAGGGGGGATCATTTATATCAACACGGCTCTGAAGCACATAAATCGTTTTGTACATGTCGTAAACTGGGTCTGTTGTAGACACAAAAGAGAGAGAAAAAACGGAAAATGCTCGACGGTAACAAGAAAGCGATCAGGTGAATTCCACGCCGTGTTGCTGCTGCCTCTCTTGTCGGGTACGGGCTCGTTCAGCACGTCTACGGCGGCGATTGTTTGCGTATGAGCCGCTCATTTCAGTACCAGTATATGTAGGTGAAGTAACACTGCCTGCCCCATATGGGAGATTGGAAGGCGCAGGAATGGGAGGTGGTTGGGGCATTTGGTTGCCCTGGGAGGGTGGGGCCGCCCACGAGGATGTGGGCTTGTTGCCCGAAGGTGCCATAGATGCCTGTGGCGGAGCAAGACGGGCAGCAGCAGCAGCCTGCTCACGTCGCATTTGCTCGTCTTGTCGACGTTCGAGTTCTTCGACACGACGCCAGCGGTCGTAGCCGGCGTCTTCGTTGCCAGAAAAAGAGCCTGCACTGCTGTTGCGACGTCGAGATTTTCTTCGCTCTTTGCGACGGGCTTCACGGCTCGCAGCCGCTTCTTCTTCAGTCAGCCTACGGAGTGTCACATGTCGTCCGTCATTGTGCATTTTCACTTTCACCGATACTGGCGGGGAGGCAGCCTCGTCCCCTCGTCGCCGGCTGCTGCTGCGATGGCGACGGGAAGCTGCATCTAATGCTGCGCCAGCCGCAGCACCTAATGCAAATTCTGCTTCATCATGGGCGCGGGAGGGACGTGAGGGAGGGGCTTCAGACCTCAAGTCACCAGAGAACTGCCGGTGGCCAGGGGGCCTAGACGGCATTTCCGATACAGCGCTATGGACAGCACCGGAGGCAAGAGGCGGCTCTGCAGTGAGAAGGGATTCTCCATGTGATGCACGTCGACGTGGGGGACGAGATAGGTCGGTTTCAGTGAGATCGGTTTCACTGCATGAGCTGGCCCTTCTTCGTGGTCTCGTCTGTGGTCGTCGTCTGCTGTTTGCTCTCTGCAGCGCCTCATCTTCATCTTCTCGCCGCCTGATATCCTCCAGTCGCTGTTTTTCGGCATCGTCTTTTTTACCGAGGCTGAGCAGTCGTTTTACGGCAGCAAAAGCACCGGCACCCAAAACAGCGTCTCTAATCCCATGAGAAGGGTTTCGTTCAGGCGGCTCGGTGAAATATGTGCTGTTGTAATAGTAAGACGAGCCCGGGCTTTGGGACCTACTTGGTGCACGGCTCGGCGGTCGATTAAGAGGCGTGTGGTGAGTCGGCTCCGGCCGACCATCTTCCATCCTACTAAGAGAATCATCTGTGTGGCTAGTACTGCGCGAAAGGGCAGGTCTATACCGACCTGACTCAGTATCATCTTCCTGCTTTTTTCGGCGGTCCCAGAATTTCTTGCCCATAAGACCAACCCCGGCTAGTGCACCAATCTCGAGGAGTTTCTTGCCAAAACCACCACCCCCATCACCATGATGACGGGAGGATTCATCGGAGTATTTTTCATCCGAAATAGATGTGCGAGATTCTTCATAAGCATGACTTGGATGTCGACTGCTTGCACGTCGTCGAAACATCGAAGCCAAGCCAGAACCTGCAGCGCCGGCAGCGAGAGCTGGTCCCGCATCATTACCATGGTACTCCGAGACTTCTGAAGGTCCTGTATACTGGCTGTGGCCACCACCGTGATCACTTCCCATGTGATATCCGTCGACATCATATCGGTAGGAAAGTATAAAGTAGAGAACTAAGTAGCCGAAAGCGGTCAGCGCGAATAGGATGAACAGGACCTTTGGCGAGCCGTAGAGCGTGAGTCCCAGTGGAATTTGAGCAATGCCGAGAAGGACAACGGCGCGACCCAGCCACCGGTGAAACTAAGATATGTCAGAAGAGCCCACGGATTTTTTCTTGGGGCATCACTCACCACCAGTTTCAAAGGAACGTGTAGTCGCTGTCTCTTGCTCTCCTTTTTGTGCAGGAACCAGCCCCACAGAACCTGGAAAAAGACCATAACATAGATTGCCAGGCCAATTCCATGATGGGGGTTCGTTAGGCTTCTTTTCGGCCCAACGGCGAACCACCCAAGCACAAACACGACCGTGGTCAAGAGCAAGGTAAGTACCTGACACCAAGCATGCAGTTTGAATGCCCAGTAAGGATTCCATCGGGAGTAATATCGGATGAGGAAAGTAGATGTTGGTACGATGCCCAAGAAAACGATGGTTGCAATGACGCCATGTGCGATGATCATTGAATGGTACCCGGCCATGTCCTTGAAACGGTTCCCCATGCCTGCAATGTGTCAGTCATTACAAGGTAATTGCAAAGAATATACACCAGGCTAACCATTGTATCGCATCGTCTCAAAGTTGACTCCCATCAAATTGGGCAGCAGGAAGGTATCCCGCCCAGAGTCCCAGGTGCCATCCCCGACATGCAGGGTATTGGATGCGTACGTGCTGCTCCCCGCAGCAGCGAGATCTGAGTTTGACATTTTGTGGATAATTCTTGAACGACCATGCAATCTTAAGTCTGGAATGTCGGATTTACCGAAGGAGATCTTTCGAGATCTCCCGATCGGAGGAATGCACCATGCGATAACGGGATCGGAGTTTCAACTAAAATGCCAGATGACAGATGGCCCTGTTGACTGTAAGTTCACCAGTTAATGGCGCGAAATGGATCGTGTCGCCAAGATCCAAGTATGGTTCGGAGGGTCGTAGAGCAGAAGTCAAAGCGGAGCGCAAGGAGAGGAAGGAAAGGAAGTCGTACAAATTCAGAATGTGAAGTTAAGATGAAATTGAAATAGCGTCCGACAACGCAATCGAGATAAAATAAAAAAAAATGCACGTCGCACAGGGACCTCCGGCAGAGTGGAATCACAACAAGAGGCTGAGCGATTCCTAGTCATGTGTTTTCCTACAACACATTACCGGGCCAACCAGCCACTGACTCAGCATCGACATTGTGACCGCCTTCCAAAGTCAGCTAGGCTGCTGACTCTTTATCTTATCCGTCTTATCCTCAACTGATCTTATCTTGAGATTGCGTGCTGTGCTGAATGAAGCTCGAATCGTTACAAATCAATACATCCACACCTTCTCTTCCCCTCCTGACACTCTGGAATAAGGGCCCTCCAACATGACTTCTCAACTAGAGATATTAGTCAACGCATTATCCCGGTTTGTGAACTTCTATTTGCACCCGAGTCTCACCGGGCATTATGAAAATGACTGACCAACATCTCCTAGCTGTCTAGGATGGGCATAGTAAGTCTACGTGATGATTTTTAAAGTCATATCTCATATAGCACTTGAATTGATGGCTAACTTGAGCACAGTATGCTCTGCTGGTCGGGGTCTTTCTATCCACAGCCTATCACCAACTGGAACCGCAAGTCCACAGTCGGTTTATCTGTTGATTTGTCCACTATCAACCCTCTGGGCTTTGTCTGCTATGCGATTTATACCTCTGCGTTTCTATTCTCGCCCGTTATTCGATCGCAGTATGCGGCCCGCCACCCGGCCTCGATCGACCCCACCGTCCGGTTCAACGATTTCGCATTTGCCGCCCACGCGGTGGTATTGACAGTCATATTGTATACACAGTTCTGGCCTTTCATCTGGGGGTTCCACGTTTCCCGCTCCCAAAGAGTCAGTTGGACAATGGCAGGGATCTTTGCGGGGTCTCTCTTGACTCCTCTGCTGGTTATGGCGGTTGTGTTGGTGCAAAGTCCGGATGGAGGGTATGATCCTTCCACTTGGGCGTGGATTGATGTGGTAGGTGAAATCAAGCTATCCTGCTTCAACAAACTTCTTACATTATCCATAACATTACAAAACAAAGCTAAATTCCTTCCAGATCTACTCGTTTTCATACATCAAACTGCTGATCACCATTGTGAAATATATGCCTCAGGTGGCGTTGAACTACAAGCGCCAATCTACAGTAGGATGGAACATTGGAACTATCCTTCTAGATTTGGCTGGCGGTGTACTTTCAATGCTTCAACTGGTACTTGACTCCAGCCTTCAAAATGACTGGAGCGGCATCACTGGAAACCCGGTCAAGCTACTGCTGGGCAATGTTACTATCTTTTTTGATGCGATCTTCTGCATCCAACACTACATCTTATACCGAGACACCCCAGATCTGAAGAGAACACCTGGTCCGGGTGAGCAAACGCCCCTCTTGGCTGAACAAGATGATTCTGGGAGAGATCAGGTGTGATCCCAAGCCCACACAGACAGATGCATTACATGAACCTAGTTATCTTGGGGCCTATTATGAGACATGAGGATACGTCTCTATTTTTGTAGCGGCCGTGCAGTCTGATCTTGGAGATTTGAGACATTGTGGGGGCGGTAGTTTGAACCACCCAGCATGGCAGCCCTGGGGAGCTCTTGTCGATCTGACGATTTGGGGGCTTGGTATGAGCCATGATTTAGATCCATGATAGACCGTCCTATTAGAAACGTGATGCTGGGTTTTTCAGATCTTAAACACATAAAGTATTCTTCTTAGATGGAAGATATCCGGTCTCACAACCAGCTTACGCACAACGTACCATTCTATCAGCATCCACGCCATTATTTGCTATATTCCTCGGGACCCTCCCAGACAACCCTATCTCTCAATGCACTGGTTACAATTCACAGACACTGAATGCACAATAGGCCTGAAGCCACAGTGAGGCTCTTATTGATCCTGTTGGAGAGGACACCGCTCCTCATTTTGAACGGCCCCCGCACCTGGCCCACACCGAATGACGTGAGTGGTTGAGTCAAGGGATAGGCACAAATTTATCATCATTTGGCCAATCAAGAAAAAGAACACGGTCTATCCACAATGCACCAACGGTGCTAGCCGTCGGTGTCTGGTCACAGTGTCTGGCCAAAGGACCTTTGGCACTATAGCTGACCCCGAAGTTCAGATTCCAGATTCTATATGCGCTCACTTTCTTCCTGTCTGTAATACCTGACTTGCGTAACGATCGACAAGACAGAACCGCTCGGAAGTGAGAGATATCTGGAAATTTTCAATCCCAATTCCCTATCCGTAAGATACCCCGCGAAGAGTCACTACCTTTGGCGTGAACGTTGCCTCCAAGCTGACTCAACCTCAGGAATTTGGAATTAAACTTATGGAGGCAAAGAATTGGAAAACGTCAGCATAGCAATCGGGGATTTTGTATAGAACTTGGGCATCTCTTGCACCATGTAGCCACGGGGAGGCTCTTGATATCTACCCATGAACTACCAAAAAAATTAAAAAAAGATCTTACAGAATACCACAACCCCGGTCCTAGTCATCCCTGGCGTCCTGGACGTCTCGTGGGGGTTTACTAGTCAACAATCTGAGTGCACTATGCATCCCCTTTTGGAATCTCACAATTCGCAAAATAATCTGCCGTTGGTCTTGGGAATGTATGATGTGCAGAGCCATGTCGTCATCTTTCAGCCCTACTTTGAAAATGCCTGCGCCATAATTGTACAAATGAGAAACCAATACCTGCAGGCGATGAGGGTCGAAGATCATCTCTCTTGGGCAGGCCAGTAGACCCACCGGCACCAGTAATCCGATTCCATTCTGAATCACCTTGAGTCAAGCCCCCTCAAACCTGGGGAACAGTTTTAACTGCTGATTCGATAGATTACCAATCATAATTGCCTAGTATAATAAAAAATTTCATGTCAAGAATTGCAGTATTGCGGAACGCCTAGAAGTTCAAGATTACAGCACTGCCTCCTCGACATGAGATGGCCATCATTCATAAATACTCCACTGCCTGTTACATCTTGGTCTGAAAGACAAGTTTCAGCTCTAAATCTGCCAAAGCGCTGTAACTCTTTGGCTTCTCAGTCTAATCGAGCAACAAGTTTCAAGTGCATGGATACCTGGTCATTTATCCTTTACAAGAGCGAATTTATACAAAGCACCGGTTGATATGCCAGAGTAGTGTGACTCCCAAAGCAGCTCTGAGTACCTTGATTGGGAATCATCTTTTCTATCCATTGAAGAACTACCATTCTGCAACATCATCTACATTCTCGACTTTCCCAACGCCGGCAACATGTATCCTAGTTACCAGAAGTCTAAGAGCACCTACGGCACTGTGCCTGATAGTGCTGGCTACGCGGAATCTCCAGAGCTCCAACAGTTTTGGGGCCTGGCCAATATTACCACTAGCATTCCATCCAATTCCCACCCATCCGTTCTACGGCAGATGGAATTTATGGATGCCCAGCCAGACCCGCAGGTCTTCCTAGCTCCGGGGAACTACTCCACTGCACGAAGAGGATCAACAGACGCTGATACGATTGGCTCTCAATATGCATGGTCCACTACATCTGACGCAGAAATCCCCTCAAACCCCCCTCATTTGCCCTCCTTTGAGACCTCCATCAGTTTCACCCCAGCACCCTTCATTCAAAGCTATTATCCCCCGGGATCTCCGCAGTTCCGTATGAGCGACCCAGGTCTGCTGGGGTATACTCCTCAGCAAATTGACAAATGGTGCATTGGGAGTCAACCAGCTGGAGATTTGTACCAGTCACAGCCGTTCTCAACTATGGGCTCTATGCGCTTTTCACCATCAGTAGAAGTGCAGCCAGTGCCGTACTCAACATTCAACAGCCAACTCAACGCTAAAAACGAGCTGTCGGTCTTTTTTCCACCACATTCCTCTGATCCAATTCCAGAAACTTTCTTCTCAGTCTCCCGATCCGTCTCAGCTCCTCGATCAGACCCAGTCCCAGCAACCCATCTCCACCAATCCACGGCTACGACCATCTCAACCTCATCGTCATCACCGCATTCCCTCTCCGATCTTGAGTCTCCACCAGCCGCACCAGGCTCGGCCTCCAGCGCAGGCTCAGGCGACCTAAGCAACTACGGCATCCCAACGGGCGACGGTAACTGGCGCTGCGCCTACCCGGGCTGTTCCTCGCAGTCTGTCTTCCATCGAGGCTGTGATCTGAGGAAACACTTCAACCGCCACCTCAAGCACCTATTCTGTCGTCATGAGGGATGTCCTCAGTCTACGAAGAATGGCTTCAGCAGCAAGAAGGACCGTGCTCGTCACGAGGCAAAGCATAATCCCGGTGTCTTCTGTGAGTGGGAAGGCTGTGGGAAGGTATTCAGTCGGGTCGACAATATGAAGGACCATGTGAGGAGGATTCACCGGAAAGGGGAGGCTGGAAGGGCTTAGTTGTCGGTCAGATTACTATGATGACTCTGATGGCGGTTTATGCTTATTTGGTCTCTGTCGTCTTTTGTTATCGTGTTTGTACTTCGTGACTTTTGATTGGCTCGTTTATGTACAATATTAGTAGGCAAAGTGGAAAAAAGACATGGCGAATTCAGACAATAAATGGTTCTGTCAACTCTTCCACACACAAAATCATACAGAGATCTATGCTAGTTTGATTAGAGAAATGCTAGACCTGCACATGATGTATATATTCAAGTCTAGAATTAAACTCGAGCACTGCCGAGCAGTCTACTGCTGCAAGGAGCAACTCAAAATGCTTGGTTCTAATTTTAATGACAAATTAAGTCCTAGGATAGATTTATATCATCCCAAATCTGATAAGAGGAGTCGTTGAAAACAGGTCTGTGTAATAAACTACCCGCGATCTTCTCACGTATTCGAGACGTTTACGCAGAAATAAACCAGATGAAACACCAATGTCCAGGTTCTAATAATAGTGCAGGATACTCAAAAGTTTCTATCAACAAATTGTGTCTAAGCGATTTATGCGGATCCACTGCTACTCGGTCAAAGCTGTATACAGTGGCGAAGAGCAGGTACAAAGTCCAAAAATTCACATGAATGCAGGGGTTACCCGATTGCATTTTCTTTCCAGGGTATCCTGGTAACAAGGTCCCTTGGGGTCTGTAAGTCTGGTGAGGCAGGACGAAAAATTTCGCTTTTTGATGTCAATGCCACACTTATGCCACGATGTGTACTTTGCCGACCCAGAGCCCTACCTCTGCGCGTTGGATTCCGCCAAATACCATCTGCGCAACGAATCAATGGTCCGAAATCACGATCCTCCTCGGGTTGATAGTGCCACCAGCCATGCAGCTTGAATAATGTGGCTCGCATCGATCAGACCAGGGCCTTCGCAGGGAAACCAACTACAGTCAGGCTCGGGAAACACGCCTACACCTGGAAGATGGACAAGATGCAGCGGAGGTCATTAGCCTTGTTCCGAGCACCAGGAGAAACCTGAGTCCAATGTGTTACAACGACGCCCAGGGCGAGCGCCAATCCAGTGACAGATTACGCGAATGGTCAGCCAATACGCTACACCAATTAGTGCCTTGAGCATCCACAAAAATCCTGGGTGACAAGGAGCTGCTACCAGTTGTAACACTCTTCGTTTAGGGACATCAATCAATCAGCATTTCAAAGGCAATTTTTTTTTCATTCAAAAAGAAAAATCACAACCTTGTCAGATATCTGAAACTTGGGAAACAAAGGGTTCAGCCTCGCACGTGTTCCAAGATCCCAAGTTTGGTCCGGAAGCTTAAATCTTACCTTTATTTTAAGACGTGCACTCGGTCATTCAGAACCAAAGGCAGTATAATATAATCTCGGTCTTTCATGACTGGGAAGTAACGGGGCTTGATCAATAAGTTAAAAATAGGAGATTGCAAGAAACACAATCCATGCTTTGTGCAGATATTTCGTCAGTCGAAAGCAAAGGTCTCGCCATGCGTATAATGTCCCTGAGTGAAGTTTTGCAAATTTGCAGCCCCATTAAAGCAAAAGTGCCCTGGAGCCCAAGACCCCAACCAAGCAGGGTTTCCAGAGATAGACGCGGACATGGCCGTCTTGTCTACAACATTATCACCACCACCGGACTCATGAAGCCATCCGGTAATGATCGATCGAACAAGCCCATAGCCACCATCTGTATGACTACCGAACTTGGTCATGTTGTAATGATCCGCATTGATCCTGCCGCTCTCAGAGCCCTGCAGAACAGCCGAGTGCTCTTCAACGATCTTTCCCACTATGTTATTCATGCTCTTCGCTTCGTAGAAACAGAAAACCTTGAGGGTGAGATCGCCGCGACGGAGCATAGCCTGGAACTCATCTCCAGCCAGTTGTACACTGTTTGAACCCAAATGAAGAGCCCCGACCATATCTCTGTCTGCGGTGTGGACTATGTTCATTCCCTTCGCGAGTTTCTCCCGGTACGAAGCGAGCGAAGACCCGCATTGCGGCGTTCCCATAAAGATTATGCCAATAGCGCTTGATGAGATCGCCCATAGTCCGTCTATGGAGTTACTGAGGATCAAGGCCTGTTGGCAAACCAAGCCGCCTAGGCTGTGGGCAATAAATAGGATGGGTCTGCTTGAGCAGTCGATTCGCTGACTGACTATAGCGTAGGCTAGGGACTGGCTGTGGTCGCAGAGTCGGTCTGAGAAGGTAATCGAGGTGAAACTGAATATGTCGATATCGTAGCCAAAGGTCATGATCCGTGCCGTGGACAAGTCTTTCGAAAGAAGATCTCGGGGCCATAGGGTTCCGTTTTCATGTGTCCATGTTTTCTCACGGTTGCCTGTCAATCCATGAACGAAAACAATGCTAGTGGAAGGTATCTTAGTTTGGGCATCTTTGGGTTATTGGTTCATCCCACTTTTGGGCTCCTTCTTGGAGTAGGAGACAAAACTTACTCCAGGTCAGCATTCGAGGGATCAGATAGCACCTTCATCCCGATTGCACCCTCTGTAGGGTACCTCGGCATAATTAGCTTGGTCAGTAATTTTCTATCACGAAATCTTACAGATTGTGTTCTAGACCATCGGATTTCATCTTGCTTCTGAATAGGGATAGCCTCATAGTGGCGAAGTATACGTTACCTTCGGCAAAATGCGCGAAGGAAACAAAAACCAAGAAAAAAAAAATTTCAGCAAGAGAAAGTCAACAAGAGAGGGCAAACCAGAAATGAACCCGGTCAATAGTAGGATGATTTAAAATTCTTAATACTGCCTGTTAAGCGCCCTTTCCGTGAAAGCGTACGTGGGCATCCCTGTCCGGAGCTGACGAACCGTACGGCATTACACAATGTCTTAACCACACGTCTGAATACTGTCCATTATCCGTCCAAATTGAAATCAGTATAGATGACACTGAATATTTCCGATTAGGATGGCTGCGAACACGCATTTTCATGAGATGTCGGGCCGGAATGTCGTGGCAGCCCCACAGGATCGGGCGCTGAACTTCTATGTCGATAAAAGAAATGAAAGAATGGGTTATTCGTTGCATGATTAGGCTCGTCTAGATCAGGGCTGCTAAGATGTCGTAGACTGAATTAGGATTTCACGACGTCATTAGACCGACCTGTTCATGCTTCCCTGCATTTGCTCTCGAGATAGTGGGGATAGCCGGGCTCTTCTGTTGAACGATTTTGATTTCCTTGACAAGAGCCTGCCGCCACTGCAGGCTTGTCTTCGGATTTGATTATTGGATACCATTTTTACATGGAAAGGCTGCCATCGCCAATTTCGCCTCCTGATTTCTACAAATACGACCGATGCCAAGTGCTCGATTTACACGTACAATCGGCAAGCTCACTGCGGCTAGCAAACCACCAACCACATCATCTGGGAGGTAGTGACCATGTAACTAGTGCGGCGGAGGATGCTGACTCGATTGCGACGCAACTGATAGATAGAAGGACGGTCATAGGCGTGGACTATCGCGGCACACATACACCATTTGGGTGGGAAACTCTAATAGACGTAGGGAGGAGGCCATGGAACTGATGAACAAGTGCGTGGAATTGAAGGGTCCAGGTATAGTCCAGCATCCGGACATAATTTGAATTTACACCAGGGGATGGAAGGGCCAGAAGGTTGAACTTCAAGAAAGGAAGTATCAAATCCGATGGATCAAACACGCATTTCAAGTGAAGCGGACCCGACTCATCTCAAGTTATGGTGGACTAACTGAAAGACTTCTATCGGAGAGTTGATTTTTGACATGTCCCAACTGAGGTAAAGGAAGAATTTTAGTAGATGGAGGGTTCATGATACCCCAATCGAATTGATCAGACAAATCGAGAAAGAAAAAAAAATGGTCAAGACCCACGACGCTCCTATTAAACGTATGCCCCATGTAACATCATGAATTTCCAACAATGGACAGGTGGTATCATTGCAGAAGCACCAAAACAAAAGTACCCAAAGGGTAACAAAATAGAAAAACCGCAGAAAGGTATCACAGCTGAGAAATTCGTCACGCGTAAAGGTTGCGAAGTTGCCTCGAAGGGGGAATAGCTTGTCATACTGAGGCGCTAATCTGGAAATCTGGAACACCCGGGGGGACACAGGGTTGAATGTGGGAGAGGGAGAGGGTTGAAGAGGGTACACGCCGGTCGGAACGGGTGGGATAAAAAGAACACGGGCACGAAGAGTAAAAGTGTTAGAATGCATGTAAACAGAAATTATGATCGAAAAACAAGAGAGGCTAAATGTTCATGTATTGTTCATCCTTCGTTTTCTCCCGCGGGCACTACCAAGCGGCCTTTGCGCGAGAACCTGTCGGAGTATGGGATCGTCTTTGTTTTTGTCGACATGGTGTACACGGACATGTCTGTGGGAGTGTGAGTTCAGCGGATGTCAGATTAGGTGAGGCTTAGATGTAGCACGAACCGTTGAAGATTGTCAGGTCGCGGGTATTTGTGTTGCTGGTCTGGACAGAAGGGACAGACATAGCCTGGGGAATTGTGAACGAGACCATGGCGCATCATTTCATTCTTGCGCTTGAAGCCTTTGCCGCCTAATGCGCGTGGACAGCCCTCAACTGGGCAGAAGTGTGGGCGGTCTTGTGAGTGCACGTTTGCGTGAGAGCTGCTAGTTCGTTAGGTGGGAGTTTCGTTCGGTTCGTCTTTAGTGGTCTTACTTGAGAAGGTACTGAGTTTGGAAGGGCGCAGCCGTGCATCCAGGATGTGTACACTTGTAACTACCCACAGGCCCCCCATTGGCCTGGGGAGTGGACGCAGCGAGCAAATGCCGATCACCCATACCAACGCCAACCTGTTCCGTGGGCGTAGGGTAGCTGGTCGCTGGGCTTTTGGCGGTCATAGGGAAAGCCTCAAATGGGGTCTGGACGGACAGCATCTCAGCCTGGGGTGTTCCGCGCCAGAAGGACGACGGTGAGGCCGGCGAGGGGTTGGTTGATGAGTCCTTCAGGCTCACTGGCGAAAAGTGAGAGAAGGGACTTGGAGGGATAGAAAACTTTCCCGGAAAAGTGCGGTCAAATGGGGAGTCGTTCCCTGATGTAGTTGATCCGGGACATGAGGAGAAGGGGTAGGGTGATGGCAATGTGTTGACCGGTGGGCAGAAGTCTGACAATTCGCTGATAGCTTTGTGGATGGATGGCAGCGTTTGTTTATTGCTGCTACTCTCTGGGGATTTTTCGAGTGGTTGGATCAAGTTTAGTGATGGGAGAGGTGGAAATTCAGGCTTGATTTCCGAAGAGGTTCTAAGATAGAGCAACCCTTGTGGGGATCGTTGGCTCAGGCCACAGATTGATTGAACACGCCCTCTTTGAACCTTATGTTTAACCTCAACCTCTGGCTGTTTAGGCTGTAACGGGGCTGGGGTCAATTTCTTCTGGCAGGGTTTGGTGCCGATGTCATTAATTGAAGCCAAGCCTGAGCCTGAGCCTGAGTTTGTCTTGAATTCCAAAGATGGCTTTCGTGACGGATCATCCCTGAATGTATTGGACCTTCCTCGGGGATCAAAGTCAAGTGGTTGTTTATAATTTTTGAGATTTCCAGGTAATGGTTCCAATGTCGAGATCCTTGCCGTTGCAGCAATCTCAGGGTGGTTCGGAGCTAGTAACCCCATCAGCACTCGGTCGCCCTCATGGGTTGAGTTCTGAGGTTTCCGCTGGTTGGGATTACGAGAACCCGCTGCATTGTCACCTTTTTCGTTAGTCGAAACAAACGGTGGTGGCGTTTCACTCCTTCCATAGTTCGGGTTCACCGCCTCCATCGGAGGCGATCGATTAGAAGCATCATCCGAATCATACATAGCGGACGTCATGAATAGATTGACAGGTGCATCGGGAACCTTGTCTTATACTTGTTCTTTGTCTGACAGGTTGGATAGTCGATCACACATCAGAACGGATGATGGTAGCCTGTAAGATATGGTTAGAGATGGGGTAAGAGAATTGTGACTTTGATCGGAGGACTGAAAAAAGCACTGATCAAAGTACATAGAGGAGATAAGTAGAATCGCAATTCCGATATAATGCGGCTGTCCGTGATTATACTGTAAAGCGTCGAGATGGGCAGATGAGGGGTTGTCCGGTCAGGATGACCCGGAGAGAATAAAACGAAAACCAAACAGAGCCTGAGAGGATATGTAGGAAACAAGAAAAACAATTAAGACAAAAGAAAGCCAGAAAAGAAAAGTTGACCTTAAAAAGAAGCAAAGAGATTTGAGGCTCTAGACCATTCAGGCTCGAAGTCTGCAGAAAGTGTGCACTTACCCAAGTGGAAAGGTGGACGGGTAGTGAATGGGTCCCGGGATGAGGCTCAAAAGCTCCGATTGTCACTGCGCCATCTGCAGATAAATGATATCATTCGGACGCGTGCAGGCAGGAAACTGTACAGCCTTGTCTCAAGGGAAGAAAAGAAAGAAAAACTAAGGGAGAAGTTGCAGGATTCGGGGAAAAAAAAAGGAAAAAAAAGGTGTCTTCAAGGGTACGATAACACACCACGTTCTACACGTGTAAGTTAGGACCCAGCATTCTCTACCCGTATAATGTCAGTATCAGATGTAAGAAGAAAAAAATTAAAAGAAGAAAATCCAAGAGAAGGGAAATTGAGAGAAGGAAGATAAACATTCAAAGAATCTTCGAGGGGGGTGAGAAGTGAAAGACATGCGGCTCTCTCGACTTGGAGCTCCACATAATAGATTACCTGGTTTACCATCGTAACGGAAATTCTAAAATTATTCAGGGTTGATTTTGTAATTTTGGAAATATTTCGGTTTTCGATTTTCTGTTATTTACCTTCAACTATACCTTCACTTGAGAACTTCCTAACCCTCCCCTGACTTGATCCCCTACTCGGAGCATTTGAACCTGGTCGCACATAAAAGCCATAGGGAAAAAAAAAAAAAAACTTGGAAAAACAAGTAAGTCTCCACCGCTACTTTCTGTTATTCAGGCTCCACCGTTGAGCTCGGAGACAACGAACCGGGGGGGGGGGGGGGGGGGGTGGTGTAACTCACTCTGAGTCGTTTCCCCTTCTCCACTCCCCCAGTCACTGTTATACCCGGGTAGGAAAGCTGCACAGAGAGAGGCCCACACGGTCTGTTCACTTTCCATTTCCTCTTTTTTGGGTCCCGCCTTTTGGTCCTTTTTTTTTTGCCTCCTTTGCAACGTCAGACTCAAGTCTGCGCTGGCACGCTAATCACCAGCCTCGAGGCATTAACCCGAAGGATCTTCAGGCTTTCGTGGTTTAGTTGTCAACACGCTGTCAGCAAGGAGACCGTCCGGCCCACGTTGTTTCAGAGCCTCGTTAGAGACGGAACCGTCTCTTACGATTCTCTAGTTCGATTATTCTAGTCCATGAACATATCCTTGATTCACTATAATACTACGCTATACTACCTGCATAGATGTGCTGTCCAACCCAGTCAGACCCAAACTCTCGAATTCCCTGACTATCCCCAGCCGCATTCCCCTCAATCCCTTCACACTAGTGAATAGTGTGGATAATGGCAGAGAATAAATTAGTCAATTTGAAACTGCCTACGGAGTATCTATAAAGTTAATCCTACCAAGACCTGTGATTGAAATCCATTGGAAGTCCCCAAAAAAAAAAATTAAACCCAAGTGGGTTCTTCACCCCCCTCAGCCTCACTTACGCGTAGAGCCGCAGGGCGAAAAAAAGCCTCACCCATTTCCCCCTCTTTTGTGGCCAATTATAATGGACGATCCGACTACTTCGTCTGCCCGCCGATGGGCTCAACGGACATTACACAACGCGGTATCCCACCTTTCCGCGCACTGTTCTTCTCTCTCTCAACCCCCGTTACCACTTTATATCAACCAATCTGAATTCAATCTTCACGACTCTATCTTTATTACATCCATGTGTGGGTGTGGTCTTGTCACAGTTGTTATACCCCAATGCACGGTCTTGCGATGTTTCCCTAGGTTTTCACTTCCGGTGGTGATCGGATATAATGGCGTACATCAACGTGATATGGTCGCAGGATGCTATACGTTCTCGCCTGTTCGTCCCCATTGGGCTAAGTGCTTACATCCACACGTCAGGTGCCAAAAGTACTGTAATCTAGCGATTCTTGGAGGGGCTTTGATTGTTTCCTTGTGGAGAGTTGGTTCTGGGCCATTCTTACATGCAACATACTAAGCTGAAGAGCCCGATTTAGATTTAGATCGGGCCATGTCAAGCGACAGTATACATGCATCCATCTACATACAGACGGGCGCTACAATGAAGCTAATGAGAGTCCAGGCCTCGATTCAGAGTATGTACGATGCCAAGCCGGAAACCCTCCAAACCTCCCCACAAGTACCGTCAACAAGGTCAACAAGGAAAAGCCACGTACGAAGTGAATATGACTCGACTCCCTACAGAGTGTATGAAGACTACAATTTCCCCTCAGCAGCCCTTTTAACCCCCTTTACCCTCTCCCAAGCCTCCTCGGCAAACGGGTTTGCCCTTTTCGCATAGTCACTAGCCCGAGAACTACTAGCCTGCCTCCCGGCCAACCGGGCCGCAATGCCCTGCATGATGACAGAACCCCGGAATGCAAAGAACGCATCACCCCACGCCACGTCGGAGCTCGTTTCGTACCCAGACGTTTCAGCGTACCAGCCAATGCACTCCTCTCGCCGCGGCAGCCCCGCAACAACCCCCGGTGCGAACTGTGATAGTTGACTGTCCCCACCATCCATTATGTACGGGCTCGTGAGATTGCAGAAATCCGAGAGCGGGTGTCCTACTGTCGCCATTTCCCAATCTAGAATTCCGATCACGCGCGGCTCCGTCTTGTGGAAGATCATGTTGTCGATTTTGTAGTCACCATGCACGAGTGTGCCCCGGTCCAGTGGTTGTGTGTTCTTTTGTGAGAAGAACGCCACCATATCATCGAAGTGCGGGAGGTCGCCGACGGGTTCTTTAGTGTCTGCATCGACGACTGCCGCTTGTGCTTTGGAAATTGTCTTGAAAGTGGCGACTTGACGGTCGAAGAACCCTGTCGGCTTGCCAAAGGTTTCGAGTCCGACGCCTTTGGGATCTACGCTGTGGAACTTCGCCAGCGTTTGGACGGCATTCTTCCAGCTGCGGGCTTGTCAGTAATGCAGAGTCACTGGCTGAGGGGTGTTGAATCCTCAGTCGCCTGACATACAGTGCTTTCCTCTCCTCCCCACTCACACCGGGCATCGCTGGGTCGGTGAAATGCCGCCCGTCGAGGAACTCCATGATGTAGAATGCGGTTCCAATCACGCTGTCATCTTCGCAGAGACAGAATGCCTTGGGAACGGGGACATCGGTATCCCCCAATGCGCGGATAATCTTGTACTCGCGCTCGACTTTATGAGCCGTCTTTGAGAGCAGCTTGCCAGGGGGCTTCTTACGCAGAACGACGTGCTTGCCATCGGCGGCAGTAAGAAGATAGGTAGGATTCGATTGACCGAAGCGAAACTACAGTACCAGGAGATTAGTTGATTTGTTTGATCTTGCTGAATTTTTGATTGACAGCCCCAGACTCGCCTGCTTCACACCAAGTGGAATCTTAATCTCCGGCACATTCTGGTCAATGTACTTCTCCAACGAGGGAATATCTATAGGCTGGCGCACTTCCCCCGCCATGAAATCGATATGGGATAAGGAAAAGACTGGTCGAAAAGCGTATTGGTTTTGCAACTTAAAAGATACTCTTAAAACTGATACGTAGAAAGATGCATTAAATGCCCCAGCACCGCATCTCCTCGGCGTGACTGGGGGACCTCGGCCCCAGCAACTCCTCGGCGTCACCGCTCCCCCTCGAGCGGGGAGGAAACAAACAGAACAAACATCCGGCGCGTCCCAGCGGTGAAACGCGCAGTCGAGCGTGGAGCTCACCGCAATTTTTGTGAAGCGAGGGGGGATTCGTCACTTGCTTTTAGGCAATTCACGGTGGGACCGGATTATTTTAACCCTCTATCCACTCAACTCGATCTCCGATCCTCCAACCGTTTTTGTGTTTACCATGACCAAAGAGACCACCCCACCACTCCAAGAGAAATCTCTCCCCGCGCACAATCCGCCTTCCCTGCCTGCCTCTCCGTTGCCGAAACGATCCAAGCCAGACACTATGACTACCCCGGCCGTCACCTCAATTCAGCAGCCGCTGCCCCCGCTGCTTGTTAAGAAGCTTGTTGAGTCGGCCCAGGCTCCGACTCGCGGCTCGGCTTTTGCGGCTGGGTATGATCTCTACGCCGCGAAGGAGACTGTTATCCCCGCTAAGGGCAAGAGCGCTGTTGATACTGGCATTGCTATTGCTGTACCTGAAGGAACTTGTATGTGACTATCATCTGTGATGGGGATTGAGATTGGGAACTTTGGCGAAGCTCTTTGCTGAGGCTGAGTTGGGCTCATTGTGAATGCGATACTGATGATGAAAATAGATGGCCGCATTGCTCCCCGTAGCGGTCTTGCCGCTAAGCACTTCATTGACACCGGTGCTGGTGTCATTGATGCTGACTACCGCGGTGAGGTCAAGGTGCTTCTCTTCAACCACTCTGACGTCGATTTCCCGGTCAAGGCGGGTGATCGTATTGCCCAGCTGGTTCTGGAGCGGGTGAGTTCCAGCTATCAGTGTTGTTGTCTGTGTGTATCTGTCTGACCAGTTCTAGATCTACACCCCTGAAGTGAGCGTTGTCGAGGAACTAGAGGAGAGTGTCCGCGGTGCGGGTGGATTCGGTAGCACTGGTATTTAAGGGCCGGGCTATACCTCAGTACAAAGTTGGGAGGACAGCCGAAAATTAGTTGGGTTCTGGGTTTAAGAAAAACTTAGTTATGATTACATGTATTCGAGATTATGCGTGACTGAATGAACAAAAGATGCATTAAAATTTACATGCTTGATTCACCAATCAAATCTATTTACAACCCGAACCGGATTTTCTATAGAAATGGCCACTGACCCGGCTTTGTCTTAAATTCTCCCGAGATCCGTCTATCATCTATTCATGCCACATGCAAAAGATATTCAAACCCCCAGTCAAATACTAGCGCAGATCCTTAGGAAGATCCTCCTTCTTCCAATCCTGCACCTCAAACAGAATCTTCGGATCTCGCAAAACCCGCGTATTCCTCACAAGTCTAACCTCGGCAGCCTTCGTTCTGCGCAAATAATCTCTCTTTTGCAATTCCACCGCTGACGCCTTTCCATCCAACGCAGGAACAGCAACCGCCAGCTCCGCATCCCGACTCTCCAGCGTCCGCTCCAGAACACTATGCATACTGGACAGAACCTTGACCGTCGAACTAGCCAGCGGCAAATCCGTAGCCGCAACGTCGTCGGGCGAAACCCACGACTTGGTCGTGCGCAACCCATCCACTGCAGAAACGGCCTCGCTTAGACGCGCGACGGTCAGCGCTGCGAACATATCGCCCGTCCCGCTGAAGAAGCAGTCCAGCGCTGGGACGTCGACGCGGAATAGTCGCGGTGACCCGTCGGAGCGAGTGGTTGAGCCGATGACTGTTAGGAAGTTTTCTGGTGGGGGTGGGGTTGAGCCTGATTGGGAGAGTTTGAAGAGTTGCACTGAGGTGATTATCACGTGCGGCACCGAGTAGAGCCTGTGGATGGCCGTTACAGCCGAAGCGAGGGTTTCTAGTGAGGTTATTTTGACGCCGGAGAGGGTCCTTTGATATCTGGTTTAGTGGTCTGCCTGGGGTATGACGTTGAGGTCTGGGTGACTTACTCGGCTTCAAACTGGTTAGGTAAAATCAAATCCGCAAAAGGGATGATTTTTTTGTATGCGGGGACTACGTCGTCGTTGACATAGAGTCGGCCTTGGTCGCCCATGACTGGGTCCAGGACTAAGATTTGTATCAGCTTCTGTATCTGGGAAAGATAGCAAGACTGTTCCTTACCCCAGAAAAATGACCCGGGCTTCTTCTCTGCTTTCTCTTGCAGGTCAATGCCGATGGTGCCCACTGATTCCACGGCTGCTGCACTCGGGGCGTAGCCGGATAGCATGACATCGAAGTCCGTGAGGTTACTCTGGCACAACCCCTGGTAAAGGTCTGAAATTTCCTGTGCGGTGGCACGAGTTCCCTTGAATTGGCGGTAGCCTGTGTGGTTACCTGCAATTGCCTGTGAGTCAGGGTTCGGATTGAGACGGCCGGGTTGCAACGTACTGAAGTGGACCGTGTTCAAGGCGGCGACTTCACAGCCCAGGGATTGCATGACAAACGTTGCCATTGTGTTTCCGACATGGCTGGAGAAAAAGGTGTAAGTAAATTGACTTCAATGGTGTCTTCTAGATTTGGTAAACCGCGTTATCAGTCTTACCCGTAGACTACCTAGTGGAGCGTCAGTTTCTGATCCGTCGGAGTCGGTAATTTTACTTACATGGCTGGCAACAGCCAGAACTCTGGTCTCAGGTACTAATGAGTCCATGATCAGTTCAAGTAAAGCTGAATTGAAAAAGAGTCTATCAAGTATGTTGTCTCTGTGTGGGGGTCAGAGGGGATGATTTACCGAAATTCCTCTTACCTAATTGGCTCCAAGAACCGAGTCCGTTATCAGAGAATCAGACATGGAGAAAAGAAGAAATCATTGGATTGTACGGAGTACTCCGTACTAATTACACGTGTGATCTATTAATATTAAAGGATCAAACTATAAAATCAATGATGCTATGGAGTACGGACTACAATTTCCAAGTTCCCAAATCAATGCCCAAATCAGGAATGATCTTCCACATCCCAACCTCGGGCTACACGATCTTACTTGACCGGACTAAATTTCATGTCTATCCTACCTTGTCCTTCATGCTTCGAGCACGGAACTCTCCAAATGATGATATGCCAATCGGACGGGAATAGGAACAGGGGGAAAAGCAAAAAACCGAATATCACAAGACGACACTCAGAGTATGTCTTTCCTAAGTGGTCTCGACTTCATAACTGGGGAATGGATTTACTCTCGATGCTCTTGCACTAATAATTCAACAGAATATCCTGAACCAAAGCTCCACCGGTCTAGTTCGGGAGTCTAGCGGATTGGTAGGTTCTTGGCCTTGGCCTTGGATCCGAATGCCTTGAACTCTAAAAAGGCCCATTTTAGGCTTTTCGGCGACTTGGGTCAACGGATCTTTCTCAACTTCATCTTCAACTTCAACTTCACCACTTCACCACTTCACCTCCAGGGGAGACTCCTCTGCCACTCCTTTCAAATGATGTCCTAAACATCATTCTTAATTCGTCTTACAATGCTGGAAGAAGCACTTCTTTGTTTCCCTTGCCGACCAACAGCTCTGTCACTCATTTAACAAAGACTGTCCTTGCTCATAATAATTCAGACTTGACCGTTTAATGTCTTCGCGATCTCAAGTCGACACTCTAACGATGTCCCGTCTTTGTCATATCTACAACCTCCTAATCCTAATTACTAATCTCTGTCTATCACCCACATGGGCCCAATCAGTGGAACCCACAGATCTGGCCATGCCACGATCGGCCTGGCACCCAAGTGGAGAGATCAAGATTCCAGAGCGTCAATCACTACAAGTACCCACAGAGGAAACAACAGTGCGCCGACGAACAATCGTCACAGCATCAACCTCTACCACAACAGGGATGCCAAAGCCCTATGACACTCTCTCGTATAACTTCGCCAACGAAAGTACCTGCATCAACTTCTTCGCGAAATGGCGCGCAAACACAACAATCTCAAACTGCAACGCCATCTCCCTTCTGATCGAGAACTCCAACGCCTTCTTCCACACCCTCAGTTCAGCGTCCGCAACATCCCGCATCCTGGATACATCCTGCTCGGCGAATGTCACACAATGCGCGTCCATCATGACCGCCCTTGCAGCCGATCTTGTCAAACCTGAAAACTGCGGCGACGACTATGAAAACGGGAACTCTGTCGTCAAGGGCATGTATCGCGATCTGGTCGCTTACGAACCAGTGTATCGCGCCACTTGTCTCACAAACCCATCTACCAAGGACTACTGCTTCGTCGACGCGGTGGCAAATTCCACAGCACCCGATGATTACAACGTTTACCTTTTGCCCCTTGGTACCCCGCTTACCGTCGGAGTTGTGCCGACTTGTAATAGGTGCTTAAAGGTGACGATGGATCTCTTTTCGGGGTGGGCGAGACGGAATGGGCAGTCTCTTGATTCGACTTATCTCCCCTCGGCGAAGATTGTCAATGCCAATTGTGGTGATGATTTTGTGTCGACTAATATCACTGTTGGATCGGCGGATGTCATGGCTGGGGCGGGTCTTGCCGTCCCCTTGCCTAAATTTGGAATTGTCTCTGTCGTGGCCTTGGCTCTTGGTGTCATGCTGACAGATGTCTTTTGATCTGGGTTCTTCTTCCTTTTCTTTCTTGTTCATACCTACACTCTCTCTTCTTGTTCATCCTTTGGGGTCCGTCTGCCCGGCTGGGTATGGCCATGGTTGATGTCAGCGAGCGTGTTTGAGCTTCCTGGTTTGATCCTCTGATCTGTATGTAATTTCTAGTGACAATGTCCATATTTCTCTCTGTAGCAGTAATTCACTCGTTTCTTTAATCCCTCTCGTGTCCGATCGGATTTGGCTAGATTCGAATCCATCATCTTTGTTAAAAAACTGAAATTCGTCTATTCCAAAATGGACTGGGTCATAAAATAGATTCCTTGGTCAGCTTGTAAGTATTCACAGACATATCCACCGCCAGCATAACAGAGGAAAGATAACCAAAACAAAGAAATCGCATCTGGAATCATGAGTCGAGTACGCATAGGTCGTGACGTATAAAGGAATCTGGCAAGGATAGCAACAAAAAAAAAGAAAGAAAAAAAAAGCAAAAAAAAACGACTCACTGACAAGCATTGCTATAAAAAAAAATTGAATCCGCATTTATTCATCAGCTCCTCCGCTTCAACCCAATTCCCATAGCAACGCCGACAAGACTCTGGGGCTCACCACCAAAGCTCGCCCCAAAACTCGTAGGTACGGGCGATCCGCCACCAGAGATAGGACTCTGTGTAGCGGCATCTCGTTCCCGTTTCACACGGATATGCCCCAGCTTCGCGAAGCGGCTAACATGCGCCCAGAAATGGCGGCCAGCTGGGTGTACGGCGATGCGATCGAGAAGATCGGCCGTCGCTTCGCGGACAGCTTGGTCCGGGTGGAATAGGCCCATGCTGACATAGAAAAGACCGGCCTGGTTCTCCGGTGCGACAGTTAAGAGCTGGCAGATGCCCGCGTAGTCCTGAACGGAGCGGGAGAAAGCGAGGTAGATGGAAGCAGCTTCGGAGTGGGTGAGTTTGATGGCGCGGAGACGGTCGTGATGATGGTGAATATCTGGGCGTTGGATTGGGCGCGCGGGGAAGTACATTGCGGCTATGTCTTGGATGTAGGAGTAGTAGGAGCGGGTGTTGCGCCAGCCTTCGATTCGGGATACAGAGGCTGAGAGTTCGCGTTGTTTGGCGGTGTCGTCTGTCCATACATAACCGTGCCCCCGGAGAGTTGTTGGATCCGAGGCGTCGCTTTGGTGGCCTGTCGGGCTGTCTGGGGAGAGTTCTTCGCCTGGGCCGATGACGTAGAGATTTGACGCACCATAGACTGTTTCTTCAAAGGCTGCAGCGACGCGGACAAATTTTGTTATGTAGGCGCGCCACTTTGCGCGGATGACATTCTCGCCGTGGCGTTGGCTGATGCTACGGAGAATGTCTTCCATGAACAATGTGTCGCCGGTTGGGTCGTGGGTTGCGTGGGATGCATTGTTGGCCAGGAGGGAATTTTGCTGCTGGAAGAATAGAAGCCCTTCTGTTACCGGTGCAGGTTCAACATGACTTGAGATCTTGATCCGGCCCGTCGGGAGGTCGCACATAACGTCCCACCATTCAGGATGGTTGGCAAATGTAGGGTTTGTGACCCCTGCAATAAACCCAGGTACTTTCAGGAGATCGTCGATCTTGGATAGATCAGTATAAGGGAATGCATGGCGAGTAAATCCACGCAGAATGCCACCGGATGCAAGAGCGCAGGCCGCCAGGACCGCCTCTGCAACCTCTCCTGATGGCCGGTTGTGTCCTAGGAATACCACCCGCTTCTGGGTGAGAATAGCGTTGACAAGAACAATAACGGGGTGTGTGAATGGTCCGCTGGTTGTCAAATGGGGATGCGCTGTGAAAGCCTGGGGAGATGCGGCATGCGGTACAGCGAACGTCTGAATGAGCTGGATGAGGGAGAAGTCTCCAACAGTCTCCGGCCAAATCACCGTCGGAATTTTGACTGGAATGGGGATGTCATTATAGACCACTTTCGACTCGTATTCATGTGTATCCCGCGGTAGGGCGTATCGACTCATTTTCTTTGGTGACGGCGGATATTCCCCATCCTGGAGTTCTTCTTCTTCCCGCTGGCGGATCATTTGCTCGAACTTCTCCAGGAACATATCTTTAGTGTTGCTAGATTGCAGGATATGTCGCTCGAGTATCGACATTTTTGGCATTAACGAAAGGTCCATAGCGTTTACCGCGTCATAGAGAGATGCCAGAGTTTCGGGGAAAGGAGATTTGAAGTAGTCCTCCAGTGCTAGGAGTAGTAAAGGCTGTACAATAGTCAGAATTGCCTGGGTGTCAGGGCTAGATGTAGCATAGTAGCTTACTTTGTAAATGTGGAGGAATGAATGTCGAGTACAAATTGCCATTGCCTTCACTACTGCGCCTCTGTTTGCTGTTAGCACTCGCACATTCAGACACAACAGGACAACTTACCTTCGGACAGTGTTATCTTGCTTCGTGTTGACAAGATTCAGCACATACATCAGGGGTGGCCCTTCACCACTCTCATCATCGCTGCTCTCAGGGTCATCGGAGATCTCGTCCAAGTTCTCGTCCTGAATATCAGCTTCCTCCGGGCTTCCATGGTAATGTGATTTCCGCTTTCTTTTCCTCTTTCCAACTGCTGAATCTATATCTTCGTCACCACTAGTGTCTTTGTGTAAGAAGAACATGGTCCAGTCCTGACTCCGCACATGCGTTTGATCGGGTAGCATCAGCTCTGCAAGCATACTCTCATCACCGCTGATGGCAGCGGGATATTGGTGCTCCATGATCGGGCCCCGATCAATGTGGAAGGACGCAACCAGGATGTATTCCACATGGCGCTCCGGCGAGTCGAGTGGGTACTGTGCTTTGCAGCGGCGTGGCCTGGAGCTCGAGGCCGCATTCTCTGTGGATCTTCTTCGATAAGAGCCATGTGAGCTGCTAGGCGAACGTCCGATGAAGGAGGCCGCAGGCGAGAGCCGAGGAAGACCGATTGTTTGGCGGTTGTTCGAGGCGGAGAGCGAGTCGTTCGACGGTCGATACGGTAGTATTGTTGCCATCTTCTGGGGATGTTGGGGATAGAGGACTGCTCCGAGCCAAACTATAAATTGAGTCGCATACCGGGGAGCACAAAGAGCACACCGTCAAGGGCCAATGATAATAATAGTAGATTTAATTGTCTTGACTTAACTGTTCAGGGGCTAAGAGGGGTTAAGAAAAAGGACGATTTCTCCACAGTGGAGAGGCGATAAGCCGATAAGGGGATCCATACAACAGTCCAGGGTTGAATAAATATGGCCCCCGGGAAGGAAGATGATCTATCAGATGCAAATTTCCCTTTCTTTTATGCCGCTCGTTGTAGATCTTTTCTATATGTTTTGCCACAAAACTGACGTATCAAATTACTCCAGTTCTACCCGGAGTACGGAGTAGAACGTCTACAGAAACAAATATTCGCCACGTCTGGATGTCTCACCCAATGTAGAATAGCGAAAAGCAACTCACCTGGAAAGATGTTTAATTTACTACATAGTTTGCACACAAAATATGCTTCGTACTTGAACCCTTAGAAACCCATCGAGGGCTGATATGCGAGCATGGTTCCTTTTAGATCTATGAACACTGCATGCAAAGTTTGCAACACCGAGCCAGCCAGATTCTTAATTGGATTCCAAAAACAGACTTCATCTACCTATCAAACAGGGTAAAATTCAATGTATTAAACCCTGATAAGGTACCTACAAAATACCACAGAAGATCGAAGTGTATGTGTTGATATAGATCGCACAGGGCGGTGGGAAAGACGGTGGCAAAATGATGTTGTTGTGCCGGGTTTGTTTACTTCGATAAGCTAGCCGTCGTCATAGGAAGTTTACAGTTCTGCTCACACGCAATTTTCATCATGGTAAGTGAGAATATTGAGCGATGATCTACCTATTCAAGACTAATCAACGATTACCTAGGCCAACAACCCCACATTCAAACCATCGCCCTTATCCTTTGGTTCGCCGAGGGCATCCCCATTCCGGCGCCCATCCACTCCAAGCTCCCCGCCCTCAGCCAGTCGCACAGGAGGCACCCCAGGGAGCTCTCCCGGTCGGGCATATACACCTATGGTATCTCCCAGCAAGCTCAATCAATCATATACAGTAGAGGATGGTGAATCGCGTTCTCCGAAGAGCGAGCAGCCCATTCCCCAGCCGAACTTTGGCAGAGAGCTCTCTCCTTCCCCCACGAAAGAAGCGCAGTCGCCAGGCAGCTCATCCCCGATTCTTGGGATACGGACGGGTGTATTTACCGCCCCGGCTGGCGATGCAGCTGGGAACCTATCAGCGCAACAAGTGAGGGAGATCAGAGAAGCTTTCCAGGTTCTCGATCGGGATAATGATGGGCTTGTGGACAAAGATGATGTGATTGATGTGCTGACAACATTGGGTAGGAAGAATATCTATACATTGTTTTTTGAAGTTGGCATAAGGAACTAATAGGAGTGTGTGAACAGGCCAAGACTCGTCCTCCTCTACGCTCTCGCGCTTCTTCCCTCCAGGATCCGGACAAACTATGAACTTCCCAACTTTTTTGAATACACTTTCTGGGCTAATGGCATTAATGTCACCTTTGCAAGAGCTTCTCAACGCTCTTGCCGCATTTGATGACGATGACAACGGGCAAATCGACGCCACTGAACTACGCGATGCTCTGCTACATACTTCCCCAGAAGACGGGGAGGAACGCTTAACTGAAAGACAGATCGATGAAGTCTTCAGTGGGTTTGTAGGGCGCCCAGCATTTATTGGTCGGGGAGCGAAGTCAGGCGGGATCGGCAAGAGGGGAGAGGTTTTCCAGTATCAGGAATTTGTGCGCAGCGTCATGGGTGGGGAGAACGGAAATAGTGCTAAGCATGAAGGAGATGCCGCAAATGTATGAACTGCTATCATGAATATGGGTTTCAATTGAGTTGGCGTTGGGGGGGGGGGAGGGTGTTGCGTCTGGTAAGGTTTTGGGCAGTTGACAGATTCCAAGGCTGTAGCAGCTAAAATCAGACTATTTAAAGCTTGTCATGAAGGATCTTGTACTTTTAGACATTCAATTGCCAATGAGAATTTTCGATAAAAGCAGTAAAATAAGTAAGTAGTGAAAGTGGAGGTAGAAGTATACGTCGGAGCAAACGCCTTCCGCATTTCATCGGCAGAAAAGCTCCAGCCACCACGATCTGATACACTCCACCCCGCCAACTGCGCTCTTCTTACCCCGTTTCCTAAAGATGTCTGATCTTGGCCCTCCAATGCAGACCTGACCACAGAAATATGGCCAAACCTCAGCCCTCTTGGGCCCTTGGCGTCCCGGGCCCCGACTCACCCGCATCGCCGCGAACCATGCGAACCCTCCGAAAGATCCAATCCCACCAAGTGCTGTCAACCTCTAGCGCTCTCATTGCCCAGACCCGGACCTCTCGTCAAGCTAGGTCTCCTGAAGCTGATCCTGAATCTGCAGCAACTCCTGGTGCTGCAACGCGAGTGCGCGCGCATCGCCGAGCTCGATCAAACAGCGATGCTTCTCGTGAAGCTGCAGCAACACCACCTGTGACTCAGAGACGACCCGCGCGTAAAACAGGGTCTGGGATCGGTTTAAAGCGATCGTTTCTGGAGAATCTTTTGCGCGATGGACCGCAGAGTTCAAATCCACACGAGGGACTGCGCGAGCTCAAATACCTCGTCCTATCCAGCCGAGTGGATGCTGACGGAGATGGCATGGTGAGGAGAACCCAGTCTTGTTTGCAAGGTTAATGTCTAACACTTCGCAACTATAGTCGCCATACCGAATCTACCTCTGGCTGGCCCTCCTCGACATTCCTCCTATGCCAACCGATGACTACCTTGCTCTCATCCACCGCGGCCGTTCTCCTGCTTACGCCAAAATTCGTAATGACACTTTCCGCACACTAGCCACAGACCCTCTCTTTAAACGCCGAGTTACAGAAGCAAGCTTGATTCGCCTCCTGAACGCTGTGGCATGGAAACTCCACGATTCCAGGCCAAAACCTCGGTCTCGACAGACATCCTCTCGGCCCCGTGAGATGGAGCTTCTATTTAACGCGCCAGCCAGCGTTGAAGAGGAGTCCCCCTTTGGTGGGGAGCTAGAGACAGTCTCTAATAGCACCACAACTGATTCGACCATGTACGTCCAAGGCATGAATGTCCTGTGTGCGCCGTTCCTCTATGCTGCCCGCAGCGAGGTGGAAGCATTCGCTCTGTTCCACTACTTTGTCACACGCGAATGTCCAGGCTACATCCGTAATACTATGGATGGAGTCCACAAGGGTCTTCGTTTGGTCGACCGATGCCTTGAGATTGTGGAGCCCAAGCTTGCAGTATATTTATTCTCGAAGGGGATGCACGCCGAGCTGTACGCATTCCCCTCGGTATTGACTCTCTGTGCCTGTACGCCTCCATTGCCAGAGGTATTGCATCTATGGGATTTCTTATTTGCCTATGGATCACATCTGAACATTCTGTGCATTGTTGCCCAACTAATCCGCATGCGGGACCTAATTTTCGATAGTCCGAGGTAGTTACAGCTTGTTCTTTGGATTTCGTTATCATAAGCTAACTTGAGTATAGCCCGAACAAAATCCTCCGCTCATTCCCTCCCCTTGATGCAAAGGAGATCATTGCTTTGACCGTTCTTCTCGTTCGTAAGATTCCAGAGGACCTTTACGCAGAGATGATCAGCCATGCAAAATAGACATAATCGAAGCTCACAGAGAAACTCTTACCGAAAAAGAGATAATTGTCAAACTACCTGGGTTTCAGAGTGGCGTTTTTGAGATGATTGATCGCAACAATTGGGTATGGTGGCTGGATGGGATATGAGACTTACATTGACGAACACCCAAGATAATACGCTTTTTTTTTAATGAATTAATGATTATACACAAATCTTGGCTCGTTTCCTTTTTTTTTTAAGAGAATGCACTTGAACTGAGATATCTTTCTCTGATTTAGACGGTTAGAATTATAATGCTTTGCTGTGGAACATGTTGCTTCCCTGCTTGGTTAAAGGGAGAAACCCTACTTTTTCTGAGAACAACCCGAAAATTGTTTGTCGCTGCCTCATTTTGCACACGTTCGCGCGGAACATGGGATCAGTTTTGTACACTACTTCTAAGATTGTCATTTCCAAAAAAGAATTGAAAGACTGGAGATGATCAAGACAAAGAAGACATCTTCATCCACAACCGGGAAGACTTAAGACTACTTATATCGTCCACATTATAAGTGTGGCTCTGTAACTGAAAACTTATTCGTCAATCTATCATTGCTCAACTATTCAAAATGTCCCCAGCTCCGGCAACTATCATCCTCGCCATATCCCTTCTTCTGATTGTGATCTGGGGCAAGAGGCAGAAAGCCCATTCCCAATCAAGTGACCCAGCAATATGCCGCCAGATCATTGCTGGCGTGCTCAAATCCACAGAAAAGCAGCAACCCAATACCCTGTCGCCGCATCAAGCGAAAGCGATGGCCAATAGACATCTTCCAATCGCCTTTGGAATCGACAACGCTTTCACACGCCCAGATAGTGCCCATGCCACCATGTTCGTCGAGAAAGTCAAACCGTTAATCAATCTATCGGCAAAGCAGTGGTACAGCGTATCCGAGTTCGCCAGAGTCACGACCAGCTACTGGATCGAGCATGGCTTTCCCGGACCGGATCATAACGGCAGCAACACTTGTCACAAAGAAAAGAGCAAGGGCACCCGCAATCATATCAGTACTACCTGCAATCGAATCAACCTCGCCAGTATGGTGCAGTTACTTTCATTGAAGGTCGTGCTATGGCTGTTTTTCAACCACAAGACTCAAGACCAGACATGTGATGCGAATCTACTGAGCCTAGCACAGTCCATAAATCGAATCTGGATATCTTCCAAGCTGAAAGCTACGGAGGATGATGTTCCCAGATTTGAAGACGATGCATTGCTTCAGACATCGCTGGTTAACCTCTTTGGTACTCACGATCACCCGGAGGAAAACCCCTTGAACGTAATCCTGCCTTCCTTCGAGACCATGTGGCGCGTCGTCTTGCGAGCTTTCCTGGAGATCAGATTTGCAACTGGGAAGGAAGTACCTGCGTGGCGGCGGACGATGATTGCTTTTGCTTCTCAGCCCACAAAGTCCCAATTTGAGGCAGGCCTCACGTTGTTGCCCAGTCGCTCCAGGCCCGAATCCAGCAATGGCTCCAACTTGGGTGATGCACGAGGTGTTTGGACTTCACCCAGTGCAAAGAACATTGTCAGTGAATCCCTTCGCCTGTACGTACCTACAAGGCACATTCATCGAGCGTATCAGTGGGACCAGGGTGTGGCGACATCGCTTGAAATCAAGTCTGCTGACATCGAGGGATGTCATTTGAGGTCTGATTTCTGGGGTTCTAGTGCAGAGAGATTCAATCCGGATCGCTGGTCTGAGATTACATCCGCACAGGGAGATGCTTTTATGCCATTCGGTTGTCCGCCCTTTGAATGTCCTGCGAAGCCGATTTTCGGGCCGAGGATGATTGGAGTTTTGGTTGGCGCTCTTCTAGCAGCCATGGAGGACAAGGACCAATTGAGTTCTTGGACTTTGGATTGTGAGGATGGGAGAGTGTTGGGACACCTCACGTCTGGGAGGAAGTTGTGCCCGCATAGAAATGCCTACACGGAACTGTATCTAGTGCGGTCTTGGACTAGGGAAGAGTGAATCGAAATCTAGGCAAATTCATTTTTAGAATGCAAGTACAGTTCTAATTCAAAGATGAAGTGAACAGGGGCTTGAGATCGTAACCACTCGCCAAGCTTGAGTGTCTATGAAGATTAATGGTGGGCATCACAGCGAAGAGATAGCTTTATTTTTTTTTTTACCAGGGTATTTGGAGCTAAAAGGATCTAGACGCCTTATGAAGCACTAAATAGATCACATTGGACACGGTCAAAACAACCTCTAGCAAAAATTCATAAAGAAGCAAGGCACAGGGAAAACGTATGTATATGTAAATATCTACCACCTTCAACCTCGAATAATACAGATCCACTCTATCATGGAGGCGCAGACGTCGACAAACCCCCACTCCACCTATTTAACCCAGACCCATCTATCACCAGCGGCTTGCATTTATCAACAGTGTTCGCCTCTGCAGTCATCTCATCAGCCCACGACTGACACGCATCCCCATAACCTGGCACCGATCCCGCGGTATCTGAGCCATCACAAACCCCATCAAAGCTAACGGCCCTCACGAGAAGCGAGCCACGATTAATCTTCACACTAATCCGCGACCCCATGAAGCTGCAATTATTGAACATGGTCACAGTACACTGAGCATCCTCCGCTGTTCGCATCGTGACCAAGCCACGCAGCTGGCCATGTTCATCGATCGAGTCCGTAGCGACTATGCTGCATTGCTCGACAGTGCCGGCTGTTTGCAGAAGTGCTTTTAGATCGGTGCATGTAGTAGTCGAGTTCAAGTTCTCGATTGTGACGGCTCGTTGATCTGGGTAGAAAGATGGGGAGCTGGGGTCTGTGCCCGTGGCGCAAGGGTAGTAGTGCTGGTAGTTGTGCGGTGGATTGTCGCCGCGTGCGTGGTGCATATGGTGTGGAGGGGACATCTGATAGCCTGGCATCATGTTCCACTGCGGCTCGTACATAGAGCCGTTCATAACTGGGGATGGGGGGTAGCACTGCATTGGTTGTGTGTGTGGATCTGGTATCATGGGCATGTATCCTGGTGGCATTTGTATAGGTACCATCATGACACCGTACTCTGGGTATGGATATGGTGGAGTGGCTGGGTGAGAAGATCTGGGGTGAAGGGGAATTAGCTTTTGAACATCTCATTGTTGAGAATGTAGTGAACTCACTCCGGTGATACTGGGGACGGGGGTATCGCCATCTGTCCATGTACCAGTGGAGGCGTGGAGTGGCCAGAGATGTAGCCTGTGGGTATCATTGATGGGCTTCTGGTAGGTCCAGCAATGGGCTTTGTGGGCGTACTGGTCCGCGAGAGTGTGACAACGAGGCTTTGGCCATCCCATCCGCTCGTTGAAAGTCGATCTGTGGCGGTGTTAGGATGGATAATTGGGGATCGTGGGTACTAATACATACGGTACGTTCGCCAGGCCTCGTCTTCATTTTTGACGATGATTTGGCCGATTCCAGTGGGGGTTCCATGGTTATCATCGTATACTACTGCCTGGCGAATATGCAGTGCAGTTTGGCGCACGAGGTCCTTGAGTTCTTGCCAGCGGCAATGAGGTGGAATCTGAAATCCGGGTTAATTTTTGAATGCATTTGACATGCTCCTTATTAAACTCACGCCTTGAAGGAATATTACAAACTCATCATCCGACTTGCGCGACCTGGGATGACCTTTATTACGACCAAGACTCGGCATGGCTGTAAATCTCTCAATGCACCCCGGTATTTTAGTACCGAGAGCGCACCCGCTCAGACGGATGGCTGTAAATAGAGGATAGATGGCGATGCTTGTAAGTAGCCCGGTCCGTTGCCGTTGCGAAATAGTCGGGGCTCGACTTGTCCGACTAAATGTTCGGTTGAGTCCAGAACATAGATACTCGTGCTCTTTGTCAGAGGTTTATGTTAGCTTAGGGTATATAAATATGGCGATGCCTTTGCATTCTCACTCTGCCTGGGCCGTGACTACAGGAACGACATGACCAAGCATCCAGGTGCAATCAAGGTGCCATTCTGAGGAAACGGAAGTGCACAAGCATACCTTTTTAATTTTTATCCCATCGGACAAATGCAAGTTGACGAATTGGTCTGACTGACAAGCTGAGAAAAAAGATCAACCCCTCCAGCTGGACGAAGGTCGAGCAGATTATAAAGCCTTCCAACCAGGAGGGTGTGTTGAGGTTTCACAAGAATGGTGATAGTGTGTAGGATATAGTCGATTAATCTCTTAGGGTTAGTAATAGTCTCTAGTCTTGTTCATGGCTTGCCTGTAGAAATCATGGGGACCCGGAATACTGCACAATCTGGACGAATGGCAACGGCAGAAGGTGAGTAGCCAGTCATAACCACTACGCAATTCCCTTTCCCCTTCAGGCTGAGATATGTCATTTTCGCCATGAGCTCAGCTTTGCTAAATAGTCGAACGCAAGTGGCTCTGTTCCCCGGGTGTAGTCCCACTTGAAGTGGCCACTCTGTAATCTTTCTCCCTCCCCCCCTTTTGCGATCCAAAATATTCATCTCCATCAAATACCGGCTATACCCGTGCACCGAGTCACATCATTTGGAACGGGCTTGACTCGATACAGAGTACTCCGTATGTGTTACACCGCTAGATCCGGATCGGACATGCAGTGACATGCAGAGTAGACTTGTATTCATCACATTGACTGCTGTATCTGTAAGATCGGATCCCTTGAAAAAAAAAAGACAAAAAAAAAGACACAAAAAGGAAAAAAAAAGAAACGATTTTTTTTAAAGGGATCTACGATCTGAGCGGGTCGCGGGATCATAAGTTCTGGAGTTTTTTTGTTGGAATGAGATCGACTATTGCTGTCTACAACATGTCTACAACATATGCGTCTTTGAGTCTCAAATACGGGGCCTGCAGACATGGAAATCTACAAAGGAGCAGTATCGAAACAGGGTGACTCCGGTTCAAACCCATTCTTGTTCATGAGCACGGACACGTAGATATCTCTCGAGTCACACTGGTCCCAGCAAGTCAGAGTCAGGTATGTGAGCTACTACTCCGTATGTAGTCTATATCCTACCTCTATTGTACACGTCTACTTCCGCACAGATTGAGTGTGAAAAATCTAGTGTCTTACAGATCTTCGAGATCTTCATTTGTGTTGCCCTTCCTTTAATCAGGACCAGTCCGAGAAGGGGGGGAACATAGAACTACAATAGACATGCCACAGGGCATGTGTGACTGTTGATAGGAAACCAAGACAGAATCAAGATAACCATCCACACAGCTACGCACATTCCAAGTGAGGTGGGATTCACATGGTGTGAGACGAAGCTGTACGATGACGATCCGCGGCCAAAGCACTGGGCCTCAGGGGAGAGATCACCGGGCCAATGCGCATATCGACCTCGTTGGTTGACGAAAGGAAGCGAGAAATCGATTTCGAACACAGTTCGGCGCTCAGAGTAATCAAAAAGGATCATTTGATTCACGGGGACTTGAATTCCCCGGATGCCAAATGGGGATGTTGAGGCTTCTTCATGTGACAGATGATTCGCCTGGGGTACTAAAAGTCTCGCGAGTCTACTTGGAAGCAAACAATCATCTTCGGATTTTACCTTTCACAAACGAACGAGGAAGGGAAGCTTTCTACTTAGACAGATTCAATTGGGATATCAGATATTATCAGATATTGTGGCTCGAACGGAATGAGATTAAAAAAAAACCCAGATCGAAGACCAACTCCGTGTCGTACAAAAACTCGATGCAAAACGTATAGAAAAGGGAGAGGCATACAGCACCGCCGTTTACGAAAGATGTTCAACGAGCAAGTGAACCCAGGTGATAGGCAAATCAAGGCGCAAGAGTGCAACATGCAACGTGGAATGTCCTCCGTACATTGTATCCGATCAATGCCGACCGAGTGGAATGATCCAAATGCGGTAATTCCCCAAGCGCAGCTCGGTCCGAAGTCCCGTGGTTCTTGCACCGTGAACCACCGATCCCCGAAGTGCCATTCTCAGTGTCCCAAACACCCAAGAAGCAGTTGACCGAGGTTAATCTGTGCAATCCTCCCCTCTCATCGGTTTTCTTGACTCATGATCAGTGAAGGGCAGGCCGCGCCAGCATAAACCACACAATCTCACAGGAACTCTTGAACTGAGGTCCGAGGCGAAGTCGGGAACAAAGGAAAGTATCGAAGAGACAGGAAAGAATGGTGTTCTGTTCGGGGCCAGTCGCATCTGCCCTTGCGATGGAGGGGGGGGGGGTGGAACAATTTTATGATGGTTTGAAAGACGATTTGTGATGTTGATCCGATCAACCACTCGCTAGACTTTTCAGATCCTCCAGTTTATTGTGGTTTTGGTTTTGGTTTTGGTGTATCATAATCATCGTGGTTTGTTGATTGTTCTCAATTCACCCCCCGAAGCCAACTTTGGTTGCGCAGCGGCTGCAGTAGTAAGAGTTCATGCCGAATTGAACGATACTACGGCTTGATTGGCCTAGGCTGAGAGATTGTTGACAGCGGGAACATCGGACAATGTCGAGAGTCTGTGGAGAAGTGGCCTCAGATGGACGAGCAACGCTGCCAGTCTGAGGTTGAGGAGTGATTTGTACTGGAGAACTCATTTTTGGATATGACTCCGAGGGAGGATTTGAAGGGGGGAAGGGGGGGGGGAATCGCATGTTTTTGAGTCGAACTCGGAAAAGCGGTTGAGCCCCGTGATTTCTCTCGGTTTACCCCAGTTTTCTTTCAATGATGATTTGACTTGATCAAGGAAAAAAAAAAAAGGGATACGGAATATGAAACAGGGAAAACATCCAATGGTCATTAAATTGGTTTCATACCCAATTCCGTTCTATCCTTCTCCCGAGTAGGTACGGAGTACTTCGCATCCTTTTGCCGATCATCCGTCCAGGGCTTGCAGGCTGCCAAGGCTTGATGCGCTCATTCCAATAACGCTGCTACCTAACGCCGTCGGACATAAATACCTTGGCATTTTCGGTTCTACTCCGTAAAGAATTTCATTTCTAAGGAAATTATTCACCGTCGAAGATAGGAGACATGACATTAATTGTCCAATTAATGACCCCCACTTGATCCAAAACAAAGCTAAATCAGAAAGGGGAATATAAGCTATTTTGACATTCTAAGACTCTCATGTACATTTACGTCGGCATCTCGGGCTTCGCGCCAGCATCCCGATGGAGACACACTTTCCATTTTCACACTCTCTCAAGATGCCGCTTATCTCTTATCTCATATCTCATATCTCATATGTTCAACCCCTTTTAAATTGTTCCGATCGGTCTACCGACTTTTCAGCCCGTCGCCGTAGAGACACAATGCTTACATGCCAGAATGAGAGCCATTAGAACAAGAGCCCCAATTTTGGCCATGAAGAGAGGAAGTTGGATAAGGTGTGGCAATCCTAGGAAGGGAAGCGGAGAGCCGGATGAACCGATAAACTGGTTGGGTAGAAAACATCCCCATGACGGCGAAATCCGATGGATTCCACGAATCGAGCCGGGGCCACGATTAGATTCGCCAGCGACGTCATCACCCCTCCATCACCTTCGTCTCTTTCTCTCAATTGCAACTCCGTACAGTGCAGACCGTTGAATTCCCCTTCTCTAAGCCGAGACCAAACCCCAAAAGCGTTTTAGATCTCGGCCCTGGCCCGCCCCCCCCCCCCCCCCAAAAAAAACGAAAAAAAGAAAGAAAGAAATCTCTCCTGCCCCTCATTCTTGTCCCATCCACAGATCACCATGGCTACCGGACACCCCAACCTTCACAGCTTCGCCAACTCCGACGATCTAGCCACGCAATTGCGAGGCTACGTCCTCCGCTGTCAGAACTCCGCCCTGGCCCGGCACGGCACCTTCCGCCTTGCCGTCTCCGGCGGCTCCCTGCCTACCGTTCTAGCCAAAGCCCTACTCGCCACCAGCAATGGCTCCCCGGAAGATACCGCCCAATTCTCCAAGTGGCACATCTTCTTCGCCGATGAGCGCGCCGTACCACTCGACCACGAGGATAGTAACTACCGTCTGCTGAACGACGAGCTCGTCTCCAAGATCCCCGCCGAGCTCGGCTCACCCGTCATCCACCCCATCGACAAGAACCACATTGAGGATGACGATCCCCAGGAACTTGCAGATCTTTACCAAGAGGATCTGATGCGGGAGTTTGCTGCCAAGGACAGCGTCAAATTGCCCGCCTTCGATCTCATCCTCCTCGGCTGCGGCCCCGATGGTCACACCTGCTCGCTCTTCCCCGGTCACGCCTTGCTCCGCGAGAAGGATGCGTGGGTTGCGGCTGAGACCAACTCCCCCAAGCCCCCACCGAAGCGCATCACCCTTACCCTGCCCGTTGTTACCCATGCTGTCAACATTGCCTTTGTCGCGACGGGCGCGGGCAAGAAGGATATCCTCAAGCAGATCTTTGATCTTGAGGAGGGTTCCAGCCTTCCTTCGGCTTTGGTCAACCAGGGTGCTGGTAATAAGGTTACCTGGTTTACTGATGACCCGGCAGTGGATGGTGTCTCATTCCCTCGTCGTGGGAGTCTTTGAGATGCGAGGTTTCCTCCATGGATCTGAGATGTATGGTGGAGGATAGGGGAATGGCTCCCTTTCCTAGTTCGCAACTGCCTAGTGTGTCATTGAATGCACTGGCTGCGATGAAAAGTGATGTTCTACTTTGATCTCGTGTTAGAACCGGTAGACCATACTTGCTATAGAATTCACCTTTTATTCCATCGATTTTGTCTTTGAATCTGTACAAAGCAGATGATCTCCTCTGAATCTAGGTTCCAACCTTGGAACGTTCTACTGTGTGTATCACTGATGTTTTTCTTGATGGTCTTCCACGTCTTTCTCGTTGGGATAGTGCAAATAATCGCTTGAACAAGTCAAGAGACAAAGCACATAGCAACCGACAGCTCCCCTGGATATTGTTGGCGTTCTAGGACAAGTGTTTTGGGGTAATTGTAATGCCAGACAGTCACAGTGAGATAAATCAATCTGTGGAATGTACTTCGAATCACACCATGCCTCTTGAAACCACACCAAAAATTCCATGCTTGATTTGACCTAAAGAGCCCGTCCAATTCCCTCTATAGCTTCGCTGCGGGTTCTAGTAAATGCTTCATCTCACAGTTCGGGAACTCCACGTTTTCGGAGGAGTCAGGTCGCTGTCTATCCCATGCCCACTTTTCCATCAATTCAGGTGCCAATTCTCCCTCAAGCATCTGGGTGATGTACTTTCCAAGCACGGGGAAAAACTTGAATCCATGGAACGAACCACAAGTGGCGATGTAGAGCCCCTTGGAGGCAGAGTGAGGCGAAATGATGAAGTCCGAGGTCGTGGTGAAAGCGTCCCTACCAAGTGTTACTAAACAAATCAACTGTTGCGTTGTCAGGGCACTAACCAGCAAATGCGGTGTTTCGTCATCTCCCATGTGGCACTTTCGGGTCCATACCACAGATTCCTAGCTTCTACAATATCCTGCTGGAGAGGACCTGGAACAGTCCACTGGTTGTAGTCATGTGTGGGGGGAGGAGAAGAGATATAATGCCCAGGAAGTACCTCTCGAGTGTTGGTGAAGATCTTCGATCCCCACCACTTGAGCTCTCGATCTTTCGTAGGCGGGAGAGTACCAATGAAGGGTTTCCCTGGGGAATGATTAGTGGCTATCAGGCGACTGCACCCGGCAAAAATATACCTTCATTTGGTGTATAGCCCTGGAAGCCAACGGGCATCTCTTTGAACTTTTCGTATTGCTCCTCATTGAGTTGCGCCATTCCGGTCGTGATACCAGCTGCAAGAATTCGCTCCCCGGCTCGTAGTCCAGCGTTGCCACTCTTCGCAGCACTCCACTCTAGCAATGTGGGTGTGAAAGCCCCGGTCGCGACGAGAACATGCGTGGCCGACAAAATCTCCCCAGATTGTGTCTTCACGCCAGTGCAAGAGCCACGACCATCGAACTCAAGGTTCGTAACCGATGCAGTGACGTATGAGACGCCCAATTCTACGCATCTTTTGGTCACTGCTCGAAGAGCATCTCCGGCGGCAGCCCAGCCGCTAGCCCTGTTCACCAGAACCTCCTTGACGCCGGTGTAGTCGGCATTGTCAAAGATTCCTCCATAAAGCTTTCTAGCTTCAGCAACAGGAAGAGCAATGATTTCGTCGTTGCGACCGAGCTCTTTGTGGTTTGCGATGACATCCTGCGCGTAGTCGCTGCGACAGGTCCAGTAAACGCCGGTCTGGTGAAAGTGTGGCTGCCAAAGAGGGTCGGATTTAAAAATTTCCTGAGCTTCGAGTGCAAGTCTGCAGTAGACCTTGTCATCGTAATCGGCGCGAATAACCTTGTTCCAATCCCATGATGCAGCCACACGAGACTCGGCATCATACGCATCTCGATCAACCAGAGTTACGAATGCGTTGGGATACTTCTGGATGAGGGTGTAGGCGGTTGATACACCAAAGACACCTGCGCCAATTATAAGGTATGAAGGGCTGCTTGAGGTCATTTTGAAATTGCAACGTATTGTTTTCTCTATCCCTGCAAATTCCAAGGTTAAACTAGGTCTTTATCTACGAACGGAGAGTCATCTTGATTCCAATAGACGGTCCGTCTGTGTCGGGCGGGGGTTCCGTTTGAACCGATCACATGGAGTCCAGTGCCCCCTGGGTTCAGACACTTCGACTTCAACCCAATCAGAAAGAAATGCAGTATAAAGTAACCAATCATGCCAACTACTCGTTAGGATGTTTTTGGATTGAATCTTGACAAGGTCGACCAACACGACAGGGGTGTAGTGTTTTCGATCTCGGTTCACGGTCCGTCCATGGTCCGTGACTCGGGGGTCCGATGTCGGGTCTACCCAAATGATACTTGGATGGTGAACGGATATATCATCGTGGGCTACTCCCAGCTAGTTAACGTTCATTTGTTTAACTACATATTCCAAGTAGCACTACTGAGAGCATGAACTGAACGCAGGGGACGATTTATTGACACCCAAATTCCTTCAAACTATCTCAAGTTTTCTATTTTGCCCTATGCATACAGAGTACCAAGATACTGAATGTGTACATGCTAAGGACTCAGTTTTGGGTAGTGTGATGTGTCGTTTCCCCTACATATTTCAGGGCGCTTGACTACGCAGGCCAGGCGTGTCGATCTCCCGTTTCTGTCCAGCCCCTGCAACCCCGGATTTGGCTTACTTACGGAGTGCAGCTTAGCCTACTGGGCCCCCTTAATAGCTTCTGTTGTAGGCAACTATGCATGTAAGCTTGAGTTTAAGTGGGAAAATGAGAAATACGATTTGGATCTGGAGCATTGGAGACTAACTAGACTAGGGTCACGCTCATCATTTGGCTGCTGGATGCAACAAATGACCTGACGCCAGTCAAACCAACCAACGAACTTAGAACGAGGCAACTAATCGTAGTCTTCTGGACCCCATATGTGTCCATAGAGAAGGCTCAATTCGTCAACACTTAGGCTGAGACCCGTGGACCCGGGGGCCGTTCTGGCTGTCAACCTTGGGTTGTCCTCATTTCTCCGCGACACTGTGAAGCTCCTAGCTGTCCTTGCATTTCTCGAGACAATCCGAGCCACTCTATTACAGTTGATAGAATTAGCCAGAAATCACAGTTATGTGAACACAAACAATGAACTTACTCCACCATCAGCAACGCAGAGTGTGAAGCAGTAGTTGGACTGCGAAGAGAGTGCTGTTCCTTTGTCGGCTTCAATGGGCGAGGCAAGGGCCAGACTCATGACAGTTGCGAGGGCCAAGATGAAGAAACGCATTTTGAAGGAGTTGGTGGGATAGATAGTTGGGTTTCTGGTGGGAACTTATTCTTGAGGATATGATAGAGTGATGATGGTTTCTTTAGCTACCTCGGAGGTGAAGTGCTTGCCTTTTATAACATATTGTTCCCCATGGTATGCTATCCATGGATGTGATGTCAATTGTTCCAGTCATACTTTCGTTGCTGTGGGCCTCTGCACCACGACTTGTGCAGGCTTATGTGCATGATCTCCATCGTGTAGGGGATATCCCTCACGAACGCTCACTCGTATTCCCTCGAAGCCAAGATTGATCTACATAGAGAATATGCTGTTTTAGTAAGGACCTGCAATTTGTGTGAAATGTTTCTGTTTCAATGCGAAGGCACTACAGCATCAACTGATCTAACCCTGCAATGTAACCTCAAATTGCGAACCATCAAGGCATGGTTAGGCATATTGGGCGTCCAATCCTAAACAATTTGCAGTCAATCTCTCGTATATGTGAAAAAAAGAGCAAGTTAACATGCGCCCTTTCAAAAGCCCAACGCCCACGAGGATTATGGAAATATTTTCCCAGCAGTGCATTATCTTTTCAAACCTCACAATTTTGATCAATCTTTCCAAACCAATAAATTATGAGACTTTTCATTATCCTGTTTGCACTAACCGCCTTCACAATGGCCGAAGCCAGTCCAGACCTGGAAGTGAGAGCTGGATGCTCCCAGAAGGGGAAATACTGCAACGGCGGCACATTCCTGTGCTGTCCAGGACAAGGAAGTTGTAAAGGAAACGTTGTAAGTGTGCCTCGGCTCTTTTTCTGGAACTAGATATTGTTAAACATAGTAGGCTAAAATGAGATATAGTGCAAATGAGCAACCGTTTACCAAGGGAGTGCAGAGGCCGCATTAGGGTGTGGGATCCTATGCATCAGAGCAGAGTGCCAGGGATGTCTCGTGGGTCAAAATCCAGGGTGCTTTTACGCGGTGTGGGGCCGCTTTGGAACGGCGATCGATGAAAAAAATATCTATCCGCATCAAAGCCAAGAATTTGGTTGAGATTTCATGCAAATTGCTCGCCCAAGTCTTTACACAATGAAGCCAGTGGCATAACGTTTGATTACAAGTACAACAGGTAATGATGTCAGATAAAATCCAGTTATTGACCTGATTTGAGAATTACAAACTATTCTTGCGGACACGATCGCTATTTGTGAGCAATCCACTTCCCAAGCTCTCTTATAGCTCTGCTCTTAACCTATGCTGGCCTGGTATCAAGTTAGGTTAGATAGAAGTTGGTGGTTAAACGAAACATTCAGTAGAACACCATCTTGTTTCTAATGCATGGTGGAGGATAGCGGCGTTCAATAAACTTTGTCAAACCTCAAATACGGCCTCCCTAGGCCATAAACAGGAACCTTGGTTTTTGTTATGGTCTAGTGGAAAAGTACGCTGTATTTCGTTCAACAAGCTTCTCAATGGTGTGTTCCGGGCCTAAAAGTTGAAATGACGATTCTCGATTATCAAGCTCTTCACATTTTTATGTGCTAGTATATCTCCTTGGTCGAAGAAACACCGTACCACTGTACCAGTAACACCGTGATGCCTCCTTAGAGCATTTAACTATCTGAATTCAATACTCGATGTTGTTGAAAAATGATGAACGATGAGATCTTCTCGCCAAAAGGGCTCTGTGTGTCAAGTTCACTAGTGCCATGTAAATGACCCAAGCAAACGTCCAGGAATAAGTGAAAACAACGGTATCGCTCTCAAATCTAAGAATGGCCGAATTTCGTTTTTGGACTCGGCGCGTGCTGTTCCAATCGTTAGGAAATCCATAATTCGATCTTTTTCACGAACACTCATTCTCCGTCGGCGCCACCAACATTGAACCAATTTTTCTGGTTCGGACACTTCAGTGAGTCTTAACTACGGCGCAAAAACGACTTTCACACTTGAAATAGCAGGATGGTGAATCTTGTCGCGCGAAACGTTCGTCTGAGCGCTAGGAGACTGGACTGCGAGATCGGAATGCGAGATCGCCGTTTGGCTAACCCTAACCGCATTAACTTCAACTCGGACACTAGTACCACCAACCTGCTGCCAGCCATCGATTCCATTGATTTGAAGTTGGACACTGGTGTGTTCGTTTCAGCAGTGAAGGTCGATTGGATCGAACCTTCCACGGAAATCTAGGCCCCCCTTGTGCCGAGAGTCGACCCCGATCTATGGGACCTTCCCATCTGTCGTCCTGCCGGTAGCGTCAACCTCATAAGATCTTCTTCGGAAGATGACGCGTCTGGTATCGTGACTGACGTCGACTCTATCGACATGAACTCGAACAGTCATTCCCCTGCTCCGGACAACAACGAACTTGGCTTTGAGATCATGCACACTAGATAGATGCACCATACCCATTCTGCCATTGACTCTAGTGAAAAATGATGCACCGCACAGCCTAGCATGAGCAGCATGCAAGCTATTGGGCTGAACACGGACACTGCAAGCATGACCTACAGCAGACCGAACTTGATCAACTGGTTGGGACGCACTCATCCAAAACAATCATTCATTAAAGCACACAAGTCAGAGAAGTTCACACAGGATCTCAGCGATGGGTTCTCTTTGTTGGAA